TAATTTATTCTTTTGTAAATTAAAGATTAATTAATAATTTGGTTGAATTGAAACTTATATTTTTTTAATATTTAATGTGTAATCGAGTATAATTAATAATTTAAGTAATAAAATATTTAATTTTAGTAAACAGGTCATTAGACAGGTTACACGTGTAACTCGTTTAATAAACAAATCGGGTTAGTGTTAAGGGTTTCTGACACGATTATTAAATGACTCGTGTTCGAGTTGAGTTGTTTCGTAAAATACTCTTACATTGACATGATATGATTACGACCTGTGAACACGAATTGTCACGCCTAAGAATTAAGCAAAATAATTACGCATTCACTGAAAATTATTGTTCATATCCGAAATGCCCTCAAAGTTTCTCATTGAGGACTTTCTAGCTTCGCTTGCTGTCTTGTCGAGACAAGAAAACGAAGCTGACCGTTCACTTGAGCAAAATCCTTCTCGCTCCCTCCTTGAAAAACTTGATATGTTGAAGTATCGCTCAAAGATAAGTTCGATTAGCCCCTGTCCCGTCAATGATTTCATATCCAAAATGCCATCTATATTCTTATTTCGAATACCTATTTCATATCCAAAATGCCATCTAAATTCCTATTTCAGAATCCTAAATTTCTTTCTTAAATCAAATAATTCATTGATGGGTTTGCTGGGACTTTATTTGTACTCAACTTTTCAAAGTCAATACAATGCTGTTGCTTGGAACTTTGTTTATTAAAAAATAAAAAAATAAAAAATTGACAAATAGAAAGTTCTTATAACTATTCATAAGTTGGGAGTACCATATCTAAGTGTCCGAGAGTATTATATAATTTCAAGTATAAATATAGAGTTATTGAGTAATACTTAGAAGTGACTGAGCAAACTCTGAAATCAAAATTAAGGTCACTAGTGGTTAGATTACAAAAAACTAATCCAACAAAATCAAATTTATTTTTTAATATTTATTATTTATTTATATTCTAATTCAAATTTACTACTCCCTCTTATATTAGTTGTCCATCTTTGTTACTAAAAGTTCTTGAAATGACACACAATTATTTAGTTTATTTTTGCTAAATTTATTGAGCGAAGATATTCATTTATTTTAGAAGGACAATTTGGTATTTGGAATAAGAGGTCGAGGGCATTTTAAACCTAAATAATTATTCTCAATTCATATGTAATTATTTTTGGCTAATTCAACCAAAGTGAAAACTAAACTTCAAAAATAACCTACTTTGTAATTTAGTACTCCCAAGTATTTAGGCTCCATTTTGATTGATCTAGTGTATGGATTTGGGATTACTAAGTACTCTTAAACCAAATCTATTCATTTATTCAAATCAACCATTGTACAATTTTACAGATTAAGAGTACATGCTTCCATCAGAAAATGCATTAATCGGATATTTATGATTTAAAACAGCAGCCCCAAACTCCGTCATGTCTCAAAGCTTCTCTACATGCTCCAATCAATTGAGGGTTGCAAGCACCCTTTGATGATAATTAACCATCAGCAACCAGCTCAACTCAAGGATTTTGGCGACTGCTCCGATTAATCTCTCTCAACGAAGTCTGAGCGCTGTGAACCCATTAGAATTCATTGTTCTGCCTGTGGCCTCACTAGAATCCATTGCCTGATTCCCTTGGGAGTCACTTGCTCTGGCTTGGATGAACACAATGAGCTGCCACTAGCTTTTCCGGGATCTTCCATGCATCCCATGTTTTTTCACTGAAAATTCTACCATTTCGTGCCTCCAACGGCTACCACATTGAAGCAGAGGTTTCAGTATAGTCTCTAGGTTATTTCCTGCATTCATGTTCTGATATCTCCTTGCCAATCAGGAAGGTTGAGAGTGTCTGTCAAGGTTGATATATCCATACCCCCTTTATCCAACTCACACCAATCATAAAATTATGATACAAGAAATATTTTGGAATAGTTGAGCCCCAAGCTTGATTCTACTAACAATGACACATTTAAGCTGAGAATCCAGATTTTACTGATTTTAAAGTTTCATTACTACCAAACATTGAGCCGAAGCTTGGACACAGACAACATAATTCAATGGCTACAATTTTAGCACTGTGAACGTGTTTTTTACATATATACACAACATTATTAATATAGCAACAAAAAGAAGTACAGAGGTTGAAGGAACCAGACGACTCAGGCACCTCTTTGCGGCAGTGTTTCAAACGCAGAGACTGTGTTTTCAAATTTGATCCGATGCAGAGGGGCACCACTTTGCTTGATGGCACATGCCAGTTTGTCTTCTAGCGGGCAGCGTGCTTTCAGCATAGAGAACACATGATTGTTCAATCTTCGGGCTTTCTTCATAGCTTCCAATAGGGCTTCCCACCCCTGTAGAAAGGAGAATCAATTTAGAAACAATAACCAAACTCAAGAAACTTATCCCACAAGTTACATTCTCTGGCTTTGAACTAACTGTTTCTGCTCCATCTTCTCCACTGCCTTCTCTCCTTCGATTACTTTTTCCTCAATTCTATACTTAATAAACTTGAGGAAATTATCCCACTAGTTACATCAATTAGAAATTAGTGAGTATTATTTTTACAAAAGAATTCAATCTATCATCACAAGTACAAGGAGCAATAACCACATATATTTATGTGAGAAACACAAATATTTCGTTACATAAGTTCCAATATTTGCACTTGAAGATATTAATCAAAAGACTCCACCAAATTTTGTTAAATAACCTAGGAGAGTGTAGAGATACTAGTGATTTTATTGATACATTCAAGTGGTTGAAGAAGATGTATCTCAAAAGGCAACCACTAAAGTCTCCAATTTTTCATATGGTCCTAAAGAACATTTATCAGGCTTGCCAATGTCTTCCACTTAGTTGTTAAAGGCGTGCATATCAAGGCTCAGTTACTCTATTTATCACAACAGGCTTGTGCACGCTCCCCCCATAATCAGGCTGGGGATTGGCTATGATACCATCTGTTAGGACCCGCCTCACGTATAAATATTGTCCATTTTGCACCATGTTGGTGCTCACGGTTTCCAAGTACGTCTACACAAGTAAAAGACACCCCTCCTTATAAGTGCCAACAACTTCCCCCCCTCCAAGCGGTGTGGACGTCACAAGATTAGTACAGTTTTAAAAAGTTAATTCTTGTCAAATATCTTGTAAATTATTATTAACGTATTGAACAACTAAATGGATGCCAGTTGGCAATATTGGTTAAATCTTTCGTTGATAGAATATACCTTGGTATGTCATCCCAGTACAATCAGTTACTGATATCCATCCCCTTAAATTATAAGAATAATTGGCAGAATCATCGAAATAAAATAGGGCTGTGACATGGAAATATAAAATGCAATGCAGATATTATGCTTCATAGTGCTAAAACAAAATCTTACAAGGTAATCTCTCAGGAGCACATAAATCTACAAGAAAATCAATTTTCAAATATGTGGAATTTTTAATTTGAATACATAAAAAATAGTTGAGATAAAAAAAAAAATGTTAATACCTGGGCCAAATTAGGATTCTTTTGAGTTTGTGTGATCATTGCAGCCTCTGCTTCTGCAATATTGAGGATTTGATAGGAAAAATCAAAGAGTTCAAAATGCAATTGTTGGCCAAGTAAGTACATTAAAGTACAACCACCCCAGGCTACTGAATCACCCAGCACTTCTTGATTGTTTGGTGCTAATTGAACAGATTGCTCCAGATATTCCTACAGTTGAAAGAACAGACAACATATTAAAACAACAATATATCTACATATAATCTTCTATCATCTCAATTACTATACACCATAACAATTTGATCAATCAGTAAAAGATTTGGAACATTTAACATGACACTGAAAAAGGTCTCAATCTTCAAAGTAATTAGGTGACTGACTTGAATACAACCACTAGTCCAACTAGCAGCAGCAGTAAGTGATGCAGCAGCTAAGCCGAAAGGAGAAAAAAATATTTCGAAATAAAATACACCAAAAGAAAAGTATAGCATACATATCACTGTCCCATTACAGAAGTTGCAACCATAAGATGAGGAATACCTGTCACCAAGAAACAAAGTTTATAGATCTAGTGCCAAAAAGCACTTCCATGTTAGATCTAGGTGAAATAAAAAAATAAAATGAATATTACCAATTAGTTGAAACTTGGAGAGGTTTGGTCCAAGTAAGGGTGTAACTCAGGCAACCCGAAGTATAGAATCCTTAACCCAAGCCTGAGCCCAACCTGACCCCCGACTTCTTTTGTGGGGGTAGGAATCGGATTGGCCAGGCTCTTGGATTAAACATTTTTCATTCATAAAATCCATCAAAACCAACCACAACTAGTTGGGGTTTCTTCAGATGGCAACTTGGGCTTTCCAGTGGGCTGTATTGATGGCAAAGACACTTAGAGAAGAGTATAAAAAGGAGGCATGGCAAGGGAGTATGCGGGTTGGAAAGTGAATCTTTATTATTATTTCACTAGGTGAGGGAGATCGAGAAGATAAGAGTCGATGATGGGAATAGTAGTAAAGTCACCAGGGATGGAGAAAGTGTGAATGTGGGGACTACTAAATTGAGAATGTGTTGAAAGTAAGGTTATGCAATGCAACATCTGGAAAGAAATAAATATAGCAGCAGCGGTATCTAAAAAACCACAATATTGTTAATTAAATAGGTGGTTCCCTACTGAGGTTTTCCAAAAATTAAAAATTTATCATCGCTATCCAAGCATTTATCCAACACAGAATAGCCTCGACCACATGAATTTGTTTTTTCCCATTCTTTATGGGAAACAAAGAGGTTAAAAGGTTGTTCCTTACAATTTGGAGACCACTAAAAATACGATAGAAGTCCTTTGAAGTTGTAATGTCAATAAACCCAGTCTTGGGAGCTGCACTCCATTTACTACAATATTTATCCAATGCTGCGCTAGTAAAAGCAAGGGCATATTCCAGCACACTTCCAGTATTCATGTTTGCCTTGTACAACAGATCTGCAAAGAACGCAAGATGCTTGATCCCACAAAATTTATGAATAAATGAACAAATATATGAAACTTCAGAATCAGAATATAACAGGGGATTTTAATTAAACAAAAAAAAAAGGCTTGTAGAGGATCAAAATTTTCAAAAACAGTGTTTAACTAATTACCTACCACTAAAATAAAGGACAAATAAACAACAAGTTCACACGGAGCTTCTATCATTTAGACTGGACGTGAAAACATTTGCATGCCATAACATCCAGAGTATAGGACAGGAGCAAGCTTGGAGGAGTCTTACATCAAGAGTGGAAGACATCAAGTACCAAGCGTTCTTTACTTCTAAATATCTCTGCAGGGGAGTTTTAGCCCTAAGACTCTTCCTCTGATATAGAAGATAGGTGCATCTAGATTTGTATATACAAATATATAGAGAGAGAGATAATGTCCTGTTTATGTGGTCTTTATAATTTTCCTAATTTGCAAGGGAGCCCCTCCATCATAACGTCCATAAGTAAAAAGGAATGTTGAGATTTTGCTTTATACTCTTCTTCCTTATCATTTTTTTTTTTTTTTTTTTTAAATTCTTTTCAACTTTGTCTTCATATATCAAATGAGCACTTTTTCTTACGCTAATTTCTGTAACAGGCTTATTAATGTTTTCTAAACATGAATAATTTGATACTTGCCTCTTCCTGTTCGAGGGTATAATGGTGTATATACACTTCACCAAATTTTAATACCTATTTTAGCATAACATATATGTAATTTCTAGTGCATTAGGAACTTGTTCCTTCCTTTTCTACAATAGGAGTATTAGACATATCCTATTCTGATCATTGTTTTCTCATGATTATTTATTTATTTAATTTTTGATAGATAAATGTACTCGCACACACATGTCCAAAGCCTTGACTTGAGTGGCATATCCTCCGCCTCCCCGAAGGGGCTAAATACCTGAAAATAAACTGCAAATGAAAGAATGAATAATTTATATGAATAAGTCTCTCGAGGTCTTTTCAAAGATATGTTGTGAAAGTTTGTATCCAAAATACTACAACTTTAAGCGTAGGACAATTTAAAACTATAATCAAGTCATTGTCCATGAGGGATGTAGATTACAAGTGAACTTGCCAAGGATCAAAGATATTTTAATTTGAGAAGACTAATCCATTGCTATAATACGGAAAGGGTGCTCCCATAAAACGAAAACCTATAATTAGAATGAGATACACACTTGGGCACTATTAGAAACTCTGCACAATCCCTTTTCAATTTCAATATTATTACCACTACTCCTCATTCACAGAGTCCTTTTCAATTAAATTTAATAACAATGGTCATCCTTTATTGTCTTCTATTCTCTTTCCGCAGTTGTTAGTATTTCCGTTTTTCCATATTGTGAACACCTAATCCAAATTTATCCATTTTTCACTTCTACACTTCAACCTTCAAATGCTTGTATCTCACTGTGGCATAGTAAGACCAAAAATTGTTCTAACCTCACATCGAAGCATAATATTGAAATACCTTTCGATCAAGTTTGTAGGAAATGAGGTATTACTTAGTATTAGAAAGTTATTAAGCTTTAGAAATCCAGTAGAATGAAAAAAAGCAGAATGCCAAAGAGAACTATATTATTATAATCAACCACAAGCATAAAAAGGAAAAAAGAAAACAAAAATGGAGTCCTTCAAGAAAAACATACACAAGCATTACTGTATACTTAATCCATGCACGTGTTCCAGATTCTACCAACCTTCATAAAGTTACCTAAACAACAATAGACATTCAGTAGAATATTAAATGATAGGCAATTACGCACCAGCAGCTTCTGCCTGTTTCGATATGGTGTAGAAGGATGTCAGATTTGAGCACCCAGGATTTGACACAGTTGAAGCAGTAGCTGATTTAAACAGAGTGACAATAGGGCTCTCTGCCCCTTCCTGGGACTGCAATATTTGCCCATCTGCACCAGGAATCAATCCCAACCAAGGGGCTGTTTGCATGAAATGTGTGGTATCTACTTCTCTCTGTTGAACATAGGAGAGTAAAACTGTAAGGAGCTAGCATCTAAAAATAAATATGACATGCAAGACGACAAAATAGCTTTGATTAGGATTCATAAACAAAATAAGATAGCCATTGCTTAGACGCTTAAGATCATCATCTGCAGTCACAAGAGGAGCACTTTATTATATTCTAATGAATAATGCAAGACGACAATTTCAGGGATAAATTTGATAAATAAACTTTATTATAATATGAAATCATCTGTAGTACGACGAAATTAAGCTTTAGCATGTTTTTGCCTAGTTCCTACAAGATAGATTGCATTGTCTGATAGAGTCTCACAACAAATTAAATTGTTTCGCAAATTATTCTTGCTTCTTTCACTATCAGGTTCAGTTGCTGCAATTTTTTACTTCGCTAATGGGCAATAGTTGCTTCCGCCAAGATTAAATGATGATGAAATATGGAATATAAGGAACTCACCAAAACAATATCTAGAAGCCCCATCAGGTATAATATGCTACCAATCTCCTTTATTCCACGAAGAACCTCTGCTTTGAGTTCTGATTTTGACCCCCAGTTAAGATGTTCTTTTACAAGCCTCGAACAACCTAAGCATAAAAAGTTAAACTTAAATACCATAAAAGATGACGAAAATATCATTTAACAATTCAACACAGAAATCGTTAATTTGGGATTATGGAAAGTGTCATGATTCTGAGTTAATTTGGGCAATCATGCAAGAATTCCTTTTCGACAATGATACAGCTAGCACTCATAACCTTGGCACCTAGACCACAGTTTTCTAGTTTTGGATTCTGAATGAGGTAGATTTTCATGAAACCACTTTGCATGTGAAACATGTCCTTGGGTTCAGTCAGTTTTAACATCAAAACACAGGCGATATGTATTGGAAACATACATGCACAGACCTCAACTCTTCGAAAGAATGTTATGATTAGACTCAACTAGGGGTTTTCATACACAAGGTCGAATGTAGTGGTGGCAATACTCCACGACACGCTAACAGGACTCCAACAAGACATAGGATAAGTGAGTTTGGATTTTATTTGATTGTGTGCAGGTCATAATCGTGTAGACCTGAATGATGCACTAATTAAACGTGTTGTGTTCGTATTCGACCCGTCAACCCATTTATAACCCGATTAAGACCCGTAGAACTAAACATGTCTTGTCCATCTTTGAAATGGCCCTAATACTATGGAATTTTAATTAACCATGTCTTGTCATGTCAAGTCTTAACCCATTTATTAAACAATTTGCACTGGTCATGTCGTGTTACCAGTTCAATAATTGTGTCGTGTTTGTGTCAAGGTTCCTTGACACGAATAATAATTGTGTCATGTTCGTGCCGACCCATATAAAGATACCCCTGTCATGACATGAATTGCCACCCCTAATCAAATGTTGACATGGTTACCGATCAGTAGCTGTTTGACCACATTTAAGGTCTTTTGGGTTTGGGTTCAGGAATACAAGCAAGTTGGAAGTCCAAGAAACCACCACTACAATTACTAACCGGATGTCTTGGTAAATTTTCATTCATCTCAATGATGATTGGACAGAAATATGCTGATCATTTCGACAATGAAACCATAAACTTCTATAACATTCATCAGTGCAGAAGGCACTGATTTAGTAACATTTGAGTCTTTCATTCCAGAATTGACTTTCAAAATGAAGTAAAAGAAGATGCGATGACTTTCTAAACACAGTTTCCCTCATAAAGAAAAGAATTAGAGACCTCAAGCAAACAATTATATAACCACTATGTACCTGTAACACCTGCATCGAAAGAAAGTAGTCCAATAGATTTTGGCAATGCTTCTTGCAGTCCAGTTATCATCGGTTCAAGGTTAGTTATCTGAGACAGATGGAACATAAAATGTTACCACACCCGTAGCTAAAATTCCAATAAAATCTTGACATAAGTACATGCAGAAACTAAAGGGTAAAGTACATGCAGAAACTAAAGGGTAAAGTATGATTTCCTGCGTCCAAGATAGCGGATTGTCATGTATCTTGCTGTTAGGCTTTGGGAGTCGCATTGGGGCATAAAACTAGATAACATGCTTTTAGGAAATAGAAATTTTAGGATAACATATAAAAAAGAAAACACAGAATAAAGTTGACTTTTGTGATCAAAACCCACAGAAAGGGAAAAAAAAAATTATGAAAAAGAAATGAATGATTACAATTTTTTTCCATGATGCATTAGTTGGTTTATTGATTTATTGACTTACAAGAAGCAAACTGTGTGAGCCATTGGACATTATAAAATGAACAATTGAAAAGAGGATTTATAAGGATAAGGGAAAGAGTTGGAAACAAAGCAGCAGATATTGTAGTATATACTTAAAGTTTTGGTGCTGTTATATGTAAGTTTGAACCATAGCAAATTAACCATCCACAAGAGAACTTTCTTGGTGTATGTTGCTTGAAAAGAGTATAACTAAAAGAAAGACTCGTGAAACTTAATTTACATAAAGATGTCTCAGAACTCGGGGTTTGAATAGCTCAGAAAGAGCATGAATCACAAAGACAGAAAGAAGAGACAATAGAAGAACCATAATTCGTGAAGTCAGTTTAGGATTTACTTTTTATACAAGTACATTCTCTTCTAAAATGGACCTTTATAATTTTCCTGACGCAAGAAAAAATAAATAAAATACATGCTTTGAGTAAGAGAGTTCTCCAATAAAAAATTTGTGTGCTCTCTAATCTAAATGCCTTTCAGTTCTCTTAGGTCTCTAAAATCCAAGTGTAGCGGATTAGATGAAGAAATATCCGTTTCCTATTTCAGATCCTTTGGAACCCACCCTCTTGCTGAAAATCTATTGTATGGTTCCAATGTGCTCCCAGTATGGCAAGTGCAGAATATGGCAGATCAATCAGCAAAAAAGAAGGCAGGAAGAGGATCTTCAAGACAGAAGCATTCAGTGCCACTTATCTCTAATGGAGTAGCACTTCAGTGCCCTAACAGATCTCGTTTTGCAACTGGTGTCTCAGATAAAAGGAGCATCATCGAGTGCAGTGGTACTCCTAAGAAAGGATGAGCAACTAAATAGAAAGGAAAAATCAAGAGCGGCAAGAGTTGCAACGAAGCAGTTGAAGAAATAATAAGGCAAAGCCACAGTGGCCAGCCAAAACAACAGCCTTCTCAAGTTTAAGCGAGAGCTGAAATTCCAGTCGATGGTGTAGGATAGTTTTTAGGGTTACCTTCTTATATTTGTTGTTTTAGGAATCATATTATTCGGTAGTTTTTGCCTTTTGACTATTTAGTATTTTTCTTATTTTCAGAGATTAAATTTACCTTCAGTATATGTTTTGGCTAGGTTTAGTATTTATCTCTTGTTTTAGGTTTTCCTATATAAGGCCTTCATGATACTATCTAAAAAAGAGATACTAATATCTAGGTTTGGTAGAATTAATAAAAGTTGCAGATATTCTGCCACCTCTCTTTCTCTCTCCTTCCTGTTCTTTCTTTTTTGCTTCTCTCACTCTATCACCCATCTTTGATGGTAAGCCAGACAGCGAAATATAGTGTTTTTGTTAAACAAGTTAGAGAATTGCTTCACCACTATGGGAATGCTAATATGCAAAAAGTGTGTTCCGCTCGCCTTATACTATCCAACAATTCCCTTACACAGCATAATTTGTACATTAGATGACATGACACCACTACAATTTTACCCCAGATGGATGAAGTGGTGGAACCTGCGACAGAGCTATGAACAATCTGTACAACAATGCACCACTAAATTCCACAAAAGAGACCATTGTTTCTGATAAATTATAAGGTAAAGTCTGGAAGAATTGAATCTCCAGGTTAGTAAATTAACGATTACACATAATGTTCCCATCTATGATTACTAATTAGGGTTTTTGATATTCCTTGTATGATCTTCTCTGACTAACTTAAGAGATAGGGGAGCAAAAACAAGGAGACACTTTTGTTTTAAGGAACAGAACTTAACCTGGCATGGCAGAAGTGACCTAAAATTAATGTTCCAAAATTTGTAAATAACAAGATTCAGACAGCCTGTTTAGGATAATCTCTCACAATTATATCTCACAAATAACTTCTACCAACAAACCATGAGATATGCAAAATAACCATCAAGATAAAAAAAAAAAAAATAGCTACAATGTAAGTTCTATGTGAAACAAACTATAAAATATAAAATGAATCACATAAAGAGGAAAGTAAACGGTGAATTTGTCTTGCATGAACTTTGCATTAATTATTGAACTTGCAAATCACAATTTATTTAGTAACTTTGTAAACAAACGCAGTCTCCGAGGCATAATATACCTTATTTGATATATGATCTAGAAGGGCTCGGATAAGCCAAGGCAATGATCTAGACCCTAGAAGCCTGACGATGGAGAACGTGTGAGGTATACCAAAGAACCCAGTGTGTAATCGAGCAAAGCTTTGGTGTGCAGAATTCAGATCCTACAATAAGAACCAAAAAGAGGGAAAGGGGGTCAGGATTTTAATCAAATTATACAGATATCAATTAATTTTCTCGGATTCATTGAGTCAGCAATAATATATACAGAGGCCAGAAAGAGTGCTTGATAGATCTGGCCTAACAATGTGTATAAAAATTAAAAAATTAAAAAGACTAGCATTAATAACTAAACATAACAAAGGTGAATAGTGTTGACATCAAGATACTAAGCCACTCCGTTTTCAACATCTTTTTACATATATAAAAGACAACTATTTATTTGACAGTCAAAGAACAAAATGGTTGTTCCAAGGAGATGGTCTAGGGTGACTCGGTATAAAACCTGTTGAAATATATAAATATTTCTATACAATTGTGGAGCGAAATCCTCCACCAATCATGGTGATCCAGTCAATTTCCTTCCAATTATAAATATTTTTATATAATGGTGGAGCAAAATCCTCCACCAATCATGGTGCCTCCTTTGACTATTGTGCACCTTCCATATATTCTTATACTTACCATGCCTATATATAGGCTCCTTGTACTCGAGCAATATATAGATCTGAAATAAAAATGTAGCCCTTAATAGCTCTGTCTATGGATGTAGGCCTTAGTGCCGAACGATGTATATACCTGTGTTTTCTCTCTTCCCTTTTCCTATTTGTATTTCTTATATCCGCATCCAAAATTTAACATGCTATAAGAGCCAAGTTGTTCTTAAAATCTCATCTCGAATTTGTGGGGAAGTATTGGAATTATTATCATGGAGCATATTCTCTATGTCTTCACATTCCTTTCCGGGCGTAGTTCCAGCTTTTTCCTAGCATTGTTCCGGCCATTTTTCGGCGTTGTTCATGCCATTTCCCGGCGTTGTTCCGGCTTTTCCCCGGCTTTGTTCCAGCCATTTCCCGGCGTTGTTCCGGCTTTTCCCCAGCTTTATTCCAGCCATTTCCCGGCTTTGTTCCGGCCATTTCCCCGGCTTAGTTCCGGCCTTTCCCAGCTTTGTTCCAAACACCTTTTCATCATCTTTCAAGGCGTTTCTTTAGCAAGTTGGGCATTCATGATATTCATGCTCCAACTTGAGAAGGAGTGTTGAAATATATTAATATTTCTATATATAATTGTGGAGCAAAATCCTTCACCAATCATGGTGATCCGGTCAATTTCCTTCTAATAATAAATATTTTTATATAACGGTGGAGCAAAATCCTCCACCAATCATGGTGCCTCCTTTTGACTATTGTACACCTTCCATATATTCTTATATTTACCATGCCTATATATAGGCTCCTTGTACTCAAGCAATCTACAGATCTGAATAATAAAAATGTAGCTCTTAGTGGCTCTTTGTCTGTGGATGTAGGCCCTAGTGGTTGAACTACGTAATATATGTGTGTTCTACTTGTTTTATTTATCTCTTCACTTCCATTTTATGCTTTTCAACATGGTATCAGAGCCTAATTTCTCTTCCTAGGTTCAAACACCTATTTTAGGGTATTCCTTTAGCATCTGAAATGTTGCTAAAGGTTTCTCAGTGCTATTTGTGACTTATTTGGGCTACCGGTTTGTTCAGTAGTAATGTTTTGTGCCTTTGCCATGTCTCCGACAGTTTTTATCAACTTGTTTGGGCCACCGGTGTGTTCAATAGCATTGTTCTCGCCTTTACCGTGTCTTCGGCAACTTTTTGTTAATTTGGTTGGGCTGTCGATGTGTTCGGTAGCATTGTTTTTGTCTTTGCCGTGTTTCCGACAATTTTTATCTACTTGTTTGGGTTGCCGGTGTGTTCGATAGCATTGCAGCAGTTTTTATCAACTTGTTTGGGCCGCCGGCGTTGTTCCGGCCATTTCCCAACATAGTTTAGGCCATTTACCGGCTTAGTTCCGGCCTTTCCCGACTTTGTTTCGGACACCTTTTCATCATCTTTCAAGGCATTTCTTTAGCAAGTTGGGCATTCATGATATTCATGCTCCAACTTGAGGGAGAGTGTTGAAATATATAAATATTTCAATATAATTGTAGAGCAAAATCCTCCACCAATCATGGTGATCCAATCAATTTCCTTCCAATTATAAATATTTTTATATAACGGTGGAGCAAAATCCTCCACCAGTCATGGTGCCTCCTTTGACTATTGTACACCTTCCATATATTATTATCTTTACCATGCCTATATATAGACTCTTTGTACTCAAGCAATATACAGATCTGAATAATAAAAATGTAACCCTTGGTTGCTCTATGTCTATGGATGTAGGCCTTAGTGTCGAACGATGTATATACCTGTGTTTTCTCTCTTCCCTTTTCCTATTTGCATTTCTTATTTCCGTATCCAAAATTTTAACGTGCTATCAGAGCCAAGTTGTTCTTGTCATCTCATCTAGAATTTGAGGGGGAGTATTGGAATTATTATCATGGAGCATATTCTCGATGTCTTCACATTCCTTTCCCGGCGTAGTTCCGGCTTTTCCAGGCATTGTTCCGGCCATTTCCCCGCTTTGTTTCAACCATTTCCCCGCTTTGTTCCGACTATTCCCAACTTGTCAGTTTTAATGGAGGTTGCTGACCTATAAAACAAAAGAAAAGTTGAAAGCTGCTATCAAGATCCTCACTTCATCAACTCGAGTATCCGTTTCAACTTGTCAGTTTTAATACCTCAATATGAATATGTCAACTTCCTCTCTGATCACGTTGGAATCAGAAGCCTATTTCCCGATGATGCTGAGAAATAGGGGCACCATCCTCTTCCTCTTCCATAAGATTCATCACCAAAGTGATGAGGAAAAATCCCAAAAATGAAAGGGATTATTCCGAGGAATAATCTCAACTATAAACATCAAAACCTCCTTAAATTCCTTTTTGCATTGATCCATTTGATCCCTAACTTCCACACTAGATCTTGAGTAATTTCTTCCCAAGGTCTTCTATCACCCATTCCCTTAAGATTGTCTTGAGAAATACACAATGCTCCGGGTAATATGTCATGCTCACTGACTACATTTGAAGCCTAAACAAATTGTTCAAGAATCAGTAAATTAGAAATATAGAGGACAGTCCGGAATCACACGAGTAACTGATCTATTAAAATTTTAGGTACGAATATGTTATAATTAGGTCTCCCTTTCTTCCTCCTCCCCTTGGGTTCATCATTCCCCATCGCAATGTCCTTTTTTGTGGCTCAAAAACTGGTTTCCACAGGGAAAATGATTCTCGTCACCAAAAACATTTGATGAAACATATCACAAATAATTAGATAGGTCCAAATTGTCACATCTTATCACATAAATTATCTAGATTGAAAAGGAATTAAGTCCCACCAAATTTCATATGATTTGTGGTTATATTAAGTCTTATTTTGAGGTCGTGGATGCTTAACCAATTGCTAAGTTAAATTTTATTTTCATAAATTTCTTCAACTTGATGCTGACTAGGATTGTGATAGTTATTTACTTTCAAAGCATAATTGCTCTATTAATTAAATCTTGAAATTAGGGATTATTACTTGGTGCAATGGCAACCAGCAAGAGAAAACAAGTTCAAGTCTGAGGGTGGCAATTTTTTTGCAACCGTATCCAATCTACTCCTCCCAGAATCCTCAATTAACATCGACCAACAAAAGACAAGGAACAATAAACTCAACAAAGCCTTTTCCCGCAAACTGGGCAAGATGGTGTTGAGCCTCTGCCATACCCAAATCTCTTTGTTGGAGAATATTATTATAGGATGATTAGAACCCTTAAATCACTCCTTTGACATATTGATATGAATCAATCATGGGAGTGATTTTAGGAATGTTTCCTATATCATATTTATCACATATATCTATTCTTTCACCTATAAATAGAATTGATCATGTATACAAAAAATCAAGAGAGAAGACAATAAAGGTTATGTAGCCGCCCTTTGGGCTTTGTGTCTATTCTTGTGTTCTTCATGTTTAAGTTCTCTCTTCAATTTTTGTATCTTTCAACATGGTATCAGAGCAGGTTTATGATACCCTACTCTATACTCGTCTTGGATCTTCGGATCAACTCGTCTCGGATCTCACGATCAACTCGTCTCCGATCTTCAGATCAACTCGTCTTTGATCTACTCATCTCAGACTTTGGACAACTTTGTATTTAGTTTAGAGTTGGACACTTGAGTAAAAATCTCTATGTACCAACCTGAGAGAGGTGTTGGAGAATATTATTATAGGAATGATTAAAAACCCTTAAATCACTCCTTTAACATGTTGATATGAATCAATCATGGGAGTGATTTTAGGAGTTTCCTATATCATATTTATCACATGTCTCTATTCTTTCACCTATAAGCAGAATTGATCATGTATACAAAAAATCAAGAGAGAATATAATAAAGGTTATGTAGCCCTTTGGACTTTGTGTGCCTATCTTTGTGTTCTTCATGTTTAAATTCTCTCTTCAATTTTTATATCTTTCAACACTCTTCAACAAAAAATGTCATTTTAGATAATTCAAAAGCCACTCAGAAACACATTCCTTCCACATCCTTTAGCTTTAAGCCAACTCTGATGCCTAGAATATGGCATCGCCACCTTAATTTACGACACACTTTCTACCTATCAGACGGTTGAGAAAAATTCCCATGCTTTTCCCACATCTACTTTACACAAAATTCCAAAAAAGTAGAATTTCTGAACTAGAATTTTATTTTTCATCACTCACTTTTTTTTTTTTGATAAGTAATAATAAATTAAAAAGGGCGTTCAATAGGGGAACGCGTCCCGTGGACAAAGGAACCGGGGTTCAAGGCCCCAAAGAATCCAGAAAAGAAATTAAAGCAACAGAAGAGGAACACGAACTTCTGTTCACATAACAAAAAAGAGAGCGAATGATAAAAAGTTTCAGTGTCGCTGTAGACGACTCCCTCCCTTCAAACATTCTTCTATTTCGCTCATTCCAGATACACCACCAAATACAATGTGGTACAGATCTCTAATAAGCACGAACGCTCCTACTCACACGACAACCTCTCCAATTATGAATTAGCTCCCTAGTAGAACGTGGCATTACCCAACACGTGCCAAATAGGCCAAGAATGAGATTCCAGCAATCGCGCACTACAAAGCAATGCATTAGGAGATGATCGACTGACTCCCCATTCTGCTTACATAAACAGCACCAATTAACAAGAAAATTTCCCCTTTTCCTCAGATTATCGATCGTCAAAATCTTTCCCCAAACAGCAGTCCATACAAAGAATGCCACCCTAGTAGGGACCATGGAGCACCAAATAGTCTTCCAAGGAAAATCATAGGATGCAAAATTAGACAGACAGAAAAACAAGGACCTAACTGTAAAACGCCCGTGAGAGGAGGGAATCCAATTTAAACTGTCAAAACCCCTGCCAATTCCTTCTTGCTGATACAATTGATCCAAGAAAATGCTCACCTCTTCAAACTCCCAATCCTGAAATGAACGCCGAAAATAAACATTCCACGTAATCCCACTATTATCAAGATGATAACAGTTAGCAACTATGGCATGTTTATCAACTGCAATACTATATAACCTGGGAAATGTATGACATAAAGGCTGGTTCCCACACCAAAGATCATCCCAAAAGCGGACGCAGCTACCATCCCAAACTCTGAATCTGATATGAGAGGAAAAGGCATCCCATCCTTGTCGAATGGATTTCCACGCCCCAACTCCTCCCGCAATAGAAACCAGACGTGTAGTCCAACCACCAACATCTTCCCCATACCTGCAAGACACTAATCTGCGCCAAGGACGATGTCTTTCCTTCCCGTATCTCCACAACCACTTACCCAAAAGAGCTTTATTAAAAGGGATCAATCATCTAATACCAAGACCCCCCAACTTTATAGGCTTGCAAACTTGCTCCCATCTAAAAGATGATACTTGAACTCATCTCCCCTACCTCCCCAAAGGAAATTCCTTCGAATTTGTTCAATTCTATCAGCAACGGAGCATGGAATTTGGAATAAAGAAAGAAAATAAGTGGGAAGGCTTGATAAAGTGCTCTTGATAAGAGTTACTTTACCCCCCTTAGATAAATATTGCTTCTTCCAACCAGCCAACCTCTTTGCATACCTATCAAGCACAGAATCCCAACTCCCCACTAACCTGGAAGAAACCCCTTGAGGCAATCCCAAATAAGGGATGGGAAAGGAGTTCACCCTGCACCCAAGAACTGCAGCTAAAAGGATTCTGTGAGATTCATACTGGATATGTTTGTGCATTTCATCAAACTACATCTAAATAAAGAATCAATATCATAAGCAGCCATCAAGCAGTAATTATCTGCACAAGATATTTATAATTATTCAGAAATGACCATATAGCATTCATAATGTTCTTGGAGTTGTTTGCTAAAATAAAATATGACATGATAGGTATAAACAGAGTATGGAACATGAATGCAACACGAAATGAGTATCACCACTGTTTAACAGTTGACAAAATTGAAGTAATTTATTAAACAAATAAATGAACGAAATAAAGGAGAAAACAACAATGAAAATGATTTTATAAACATGAATAGCATCATAGTACTCAGAAAATCCAATCAAGTATCGGGATTTGCTTGGTAATTTCTTACTTGAGTACCACAATAGAAATTTGGCTTGGCATAGGGAACTGATGGCTTCTGAGTAGGAACAAGAGGTACTTTTGCTGATCGGACAAAACGCTGAGTAGTGTTGCAGAGGATGAAATTTGGCAAGAAATCGGTTTGCATCTCTGTCCAAATCTAGGAGACAAACAAATTGATTATGCAAAAAGTAGTCTTAAACAACTCAAGAGCGACAAATTTGCATCACTAGTCCAAAATAAATAAATGTGTCATATGTAAAAGGACTACGTAATAAGAAATATCATAGTTAATTTCATTCCATTGAACAAGGCTGTAAACTTTGACATTACGAATCATGGCTTGTGATCACTTTAACTAATAGTGCCGTGTCCTTTCAACTAGACTGTTTCAAAAAAAAATCATTATACATTAGATAAGTATAATAAGTGGTATTAACACAAGCACCTATGACCAAATCAAGTAGCAGAATATGACCGAACCAGGAACTAAATGTTCACAAATTAACTGTGAATAGAAAAGTCCTCAACTCCTCAAGCATTGATAAATCAATATGACTCCATTAATAAATGTTCGCTCGTTATTAGATAAACAGAATAAAAGTTATCTATTTATATCAGAGAAATGTCAAAACCAGCAGGAGTAATAAGGTGCTGCTTCTATTTAGACTGCTCTCTAGGGCTAAATCAGCACGAAGGAACTGATTTGCTAAAGGACAGATGATACTACTAAATAACTGAAAATGATTTTGCTCAGCTACACCATATCCAATGAGTCCAGCAAACACAAAGACATCACCTAGTATCAAGACTGATGGTACTAAAACCCAATTGACTCCTAACCATATTTGGAAGATAAATTAGTTCATCAAACTCCAACCAATTTTTAGATAAATACATGGTCAAAACAGGATTTAGTATCTTTGTTGCACAGGATTACAACAGTTGGTACCTAGATCTGTAATAAATAACCCAACTTTTTAAAGAGATTCATTTAATGCATTACAAGACTAACCCAGCAAAATTTAGACATCTACTTTATTGATTTGAAAAGATTTTCAAAAGCAAAGGACGATTTGGAAAGTTGTATTTGGAACATCTCAAAAAAAGAAGTGGACACTTGTTTGGAAACATCCCAAAAAGGAAAGTATGACATATATTATGGGACGGATGGAGCATTTCATGTTGACCTCTATATGATTGAAGTTCTACAAAGAATATCACATACTTAATATTCTGACTCTTTTTTTTTTTTTTGGAATTAAAAACAACACTTATAATCTGACACACGTGTCCCCAGTTTGTCCATTTATTTAAAAAAAAATTAAAAATCCGGTACATTTTTTTGCCATGTGTGACAGAGATATTTTGACCTATTAGGCATGTATGTGCATCCTAGCATACGCTAATCAACTTTACATGCTTGACAAGACAAATATGTTGTGTATGTGAACACCGGGGGGTGGGCAGAATAAAGTAACAACTGAAGTCAAAAGACAAGACAATGTTGCCAACCTGAGAAGCAAGTCGACTAGAATATGAAACCAGAGATATATTTTCCTGCATCTCGTTCAACATTAAATTGAAAGAGTCCATTGAAAGATCTCTTGAAAGCAACTCATGAGCAAGCTGCAAAATGTTCAGGAGCTTTTCCAATTCCTGAAACATAAATATCATTTACAAAAGAGAAAAATATAAATATAAATCACCTATTGTTCACAAGAATCCAGAGAATGGAGAAAGAACTACACAATACTGAAGGACTACTTACCACAATAGCACATAAATCCTGAGACTCAAAACGATCAAACAAAAATTCAATGTTGTCTCTGAACACTTTGTTCATCCTCTCAGCAATCAAACTTCTTAAGTCGATGGTCCTTCCCAGTAACTATACACCATCAAATATGTTTATGTACATGAGAGATAGAGAAAGAGAGAGAGAGAGACACACACACACACACAAAAAAAAAAAAAAAAAAAAAGAATTTCTTGAAAAGAAAAAAAATGCAGCTAAATTAGAAAAATCAATTCAGAACTTTAGAAATGCGAGTCATGTTTATTTTTTAAAATATTCATTATTCCTTTTTAAAAGGATTTTACATGACTCAAAAGCTCTTGAAGTTCATAAATAAGGCCATTGCACCAGTCAGAGTACTTTTGAATTGCATTTGAAGATTCCAATTAATGGAAAATGACTATTGTTTATCGATATCCTTTCTAGCAATCTTCTCCTCACATCTTCCCATTGCTGTCCAGAAATTCCAACAAGCTATATATATTCCCAAAATACAAAAACTTTTAGCCATAAAATCTCATCTCTTCTAACCCAACTAAATCCTCTATCTATGCAAAACTTAAAAATACAAGCAATCCTAAGTCATATCCCACAATACATTGAAATTCTAAAACTTCTCGGTATCAGATAATTATTCAAACAACAGATGATCTTGAACTTGATTATAATTGAACAGAGGAAGTACCTGACTAGAAAATGATTGACCCACTGTCACCACAAATCATTATTACCCTAGTAATCTATGATCAAGATCATTTTCCAAATTTTGGTACATTGTCATTTCAAACACTGAGTTTGTTAAACCCAAAGTTCCTTATTATTGCCAAGCAATGTCAAATATTAATTGTTAACTACCATCTACTCCAAAAGCTTAAGCTATTAGAGAGGGTGTAACTTAAATATATAAATCCTTCAACACGCCCCCTCACGTGTGGCCTTCTTTTGGTCCAACACGTGTTTTTCAATTTTTTTTTAATTAGGGTGGTGGTGAGGTCTGAACTCGAGACCTTTGGCTCTGATACCATGTTAACTACCATCTACTCCAAAAGCTTAAGCTATTAGAGAGGTGTAAGTTAAATATATAAATCCTTCAACATTAATGAATCAAAATCGGGTAGGATCTGAAAGTTTTATGACAAAAGGGCAATAACCATGGCACATGAAAGATCAACACGTGTAAACTTGCCACATTGTACCACATTTTGGGTAAGACTCAAATTTTGCACCCTTTCCCATTATATTTAATGCAGAAATCCATATTACAGGTAGGAGATTCTCTCATTGCAAGGACGAAAAGGAAGTAGGGTAATAAAGAGCACTTTAACCATGCAATCCGTGCATATCACACTCTTACTTACCATCCACACTTCAGTGTCAGAAAGACTAGAAAACATTCAGAGGGATGTTCTATGGAAAGGTAGACTGCACATGGCTCTTTGTCCACTGATATTGTTATATTGGGACTTGTTGGGTAAAGAGCTGTGGTGGTTTAAGGTGGAGAAGAACATGCTTCTGGGTGCAAAAGCAAATGCTGGTTTCAAAAGCGGGTGAGGAAATGCTAAATGAATGGATCTTAAATGGAATAACACGGGTTCGAAGTCTTCATTTTTTTTTTCTTTTTTTTTCGAAAGGCCAGGGATTTGAAGTCTACTTGAAAGGATTTGGTTTGTGTTGGACATGTAAGAGGATATCCATCTGGGAAGCAGGCTAGTCAAGGGAGGTTCTGCTAAAAGGGAAATTGGTACATATTTATATTTTATTTCGGACAAAACACCATCTGTCCACGATAGCCACAGGCACATACCTAGAATCAATATTATCTTGTTAATGGAGGGTGTTGTGGCAATTTCTGAAACATCAACGAACAAACGAGTTAAATTCTAAAACTTGACTCATGCATCTTGACCGCTTGAGGGGGGGAAAAAAACACGCGCTCGCGCGCACACAAGGCATTTAAAAACTAAAATGAATATTTAAATAGAAAGTAAACACGTAAAGGGGGAAAATCACTAATGGCTGGAACAGAAGACCAGAAAAAGCCCAAAACCAGAATGGAGAAATGAGTTATAATGAGACATCCTCACCTTCACTCTAGTCATCTTTAGTAGTGCAGTGAATCTAATCGGTTGCACAGAAAACTTTTCTCCATTATCCAAGGCAAAGATGAATGATGGATCAAGCAGCTCACTGCAGAATATGATAACCAAAAGAAGATAAGTCTAAATTTGATAAAAATGAGGATTACTGCATGTCTGAGAGCAAGGGCATACCTTGCTGCCCAACTTTTGTAGTATGTGAAAATAGTGTCGCACAATTTTGATACAAATATATCAAAACAATGGTCCACCTGAACAACATATGAAAATAATTACAACCAAGTGGAACACATGTTATTTTTCCAGGAACATAAACCCAATATGTTGGTATACATGCATACGTAAGTGTCATATTGCAGTGTGATGAACATTTCATACAGGAAAATTAGAAGAACGCAACATGCTTCTGTATAATTCATAAAGTATGTTCTTCAGGTAGGACGATTATTAGAATTTAATCTTAAAAGAGCTAATAACAATTTACCAGTCCATGTAGTTTAGAAATATAGAGATGATCAGTTAGAAAATTTGAACCAGTGACCAAAACTCAAACTTGAAATACAATTAGTTCTCAATCCTTAATAGTCAGTTAATTCTTTGTAGTCCATGACACAAAGGTAAGCAAAGAGAGTGCTGATTGCTTTTGCACAAGTCAGAGCAATCGCAATGTTATCCTTCTGTTAAATGCACTCTCAGTTTCCAGGCCATGAAATCTTTCCAGCGCATATTTTCTGTAGAACAAAGGTGAGGAAAGTGGGTAAAGATTCCATTACAGACGTAGGAGTACTCATAAAGTTATCCATCTAGATATATCCATTAACCTCTGATACTCTTCTAAACTTTTCTTTATCCTGAAACCTTCCAATATCAGGGATAAATGTCCATGTAGCTTACAGCTCATGGATGCCAGTTAATTATGAACTCTCTTTCCCACTAAAACAACTGTCATTCAAATATTTACGAGAATGAATGTCTGAGCTCAAATGGAACGAACTATTGATCTATAGAGCAAGTGTATAGGGCCGGGCACTTGCCATCCAACCCAAAAGTTTATGTTGTTAAGTGGTGTTGCCTACCCACCCTTATAAACCCAAGACCCTCCCCATCCCTATCTGATGTGGCACGGACCACTGTGACATTCTACCCCTCCCAAACCCGAGGCGCCCTCATTGCGGTCTGGCCACCTTACCTACCAGTCCAACCTACTGGCGGGGAGACCCGATAACAACCCCAACACCTCCGTGTAGGTGCTTGGCATAACACCGGATAAGAGAATGGGTTTACTCTAATACCAGTTGTAACAGGTCGGGCGTTTGCCACCCAACCCAAAAGCTTAAGCTAAGAGACGGTGCTGCCTACCCACCCTTTTAAGCCCTAGACCCTCCCCTTCCCTATTCGATGTGGAGGAACCCCTGTGACAGCAAGTACATTTCTTTTCTTGTCAAAGAAAAGGTAGAAACAGCAGAATGGGGCCTCTATTAAGAAGGTAATTAGTACAGTATCAGCTCGGATGCTGAAAGTCCACCAAAAGGTTTCAGTTTCTTTTTTGGGTTAATTGCATATAACCCCCTATACTATTCATTTTGGCACTTAACCCCCCTGCACTAATTTTTTTCACAACTAACCCACTAATATTATGTATAAACCATTGCAACTTACCTCATTATCACGGAGCCATTAAAAAATTAATGAATAGTGCAGGGGGGTTATCTACAAATGTTGACATATTACCATTTTTGTTTGATTTGTTCCCTAATTTTTAACCACAAAATTTTCACTCAGATAACTTACAAAGTTGACACAATGACAGTGACTAATAAATTTAAAGAGTGATTCATTAATTTCATTTAAAATGTATGCCTATTATTATATTCCTTACTAATTTCTGATCTGATTCTAAAACTAAGATACGAAAGTAAAATGGTACACAAACATCTCTCCAATTGTCCCTGTGAATATCCCAATTCTTGTTTATTAGGATTTTTTTTTTTTTTTTTTTTTTTGATATTGGATCTTCCGTCTTTGCTAATTGTTCAATACAATAATCAGAAAAATGAATCTTAACATGATGCACCAACAGGAAATACTGCATTTGCAGACACTAAAAAATGAACTTAAACATAGAAATAAGCTTCTGGGAGGGATTGTCATTCAGCTTGAAATAGTCCTGCTCTTGAAAGCTATTTATAAAGACGCGCATACAAAGTACACATGCCAAGGGACTATCACTATTTCAGAATGGTTTTATTCAGGTTGAGTTTAGGATGTTCCACTTTATAAAAAAATGACTCGTACTAAATTTAGATATTATTTTAGCAATATCTATTATTACACAACGGTGTATAATATAACAATTTTTTCCCTTTTTAATTATTATGAAATATAGTAAGAAACGAGATTCGAGAAAATAAGGAAACAATTATAATGTAAATGTCATTCATGTAAAAAATTATATATAAGCTGGAAAAAGAATGATGAATATCCTTTTGTAGATAAAGTCACATATACAATCATATTGTTCTGTTGAAAACTTGACCTTCAATCTTACAGTTACAAAAAAATATATCTATATATACCACTTCCTTGCAATTATGAACAATTTTTATTAATTAAAATGGAAATATAGTTTGAAACAAGATTAGAGAAAATAAGGAAAAAAAAATTGTAACTTAAATGTCATTCTTTTAAAAATAAGGGAACAAAATCAAAAGAAAAAAGAAAATATGTCAATATTAGCAGATAACCCCCTATACTATCATTTTTTTAGCATTTTAACCCGGGGATTAAAACCGTCATTATTTGAAAAGTCCGTTTTTTTAACTTTGCAGACAATTGACCCACAAGAAGTATAGTAAACTTAAATTAGACAGCAGACAATAATAAAATCCATCTTTCCAAATACTTTGGGACTCCCTCTTGGGCTTCGTCAAGGAGGATTTCAATTTGGGACCCGATTGTGGAGAGATCTGAGAGGAGGCTTGCGGGTTGGTAGAAATAGTACTTGTCGAGAGGGGGGAGGCTTACTCTTATGAAAAGTGCCCCCTTTCCAACCTCCCTACCTATTTTATGACCCTTTTCCCAATGCCTATGACAGTGTTTAGAAGACTTGATGCGATTCAGAGTAATTTTTTTGTGGGGAGGCATGGGGAATGAGTTCAAATACCACTTAGTTAAACTGGGAGAGAGTCCGTACCGTATTTCAAAGGGAGGTTTGGGAATCCGTAGGCCGGATATGTTTAATAAGGCGTTGTTGGGGAAATGTGGAGATTCGGGGGCGAGAGGACAAGATTATGGAGACGAGTTATCTCATGTCAATTCGGTGAGGGAGATGGAGGGTGCCTTTTTAGGGAGACGAGAGCTCCAGCAGGTATGGGAGCTTTGGAAACTCATTCGGAAGGGTTGGGAGTCTTGGGACGCGTTTGGAAAACGCATCCAGTTCAAAGTCAAGAGCGGGAGGCATGTAAGATTTTGGGAGGACCGATGGTGTGGGGACATTGTGTTGGCTCATAGATTTCCTTGCCTTTTTCGGATTTCTGTGAACAAACATGTTGCAGTTGTTCACTGTTATCGGCTTGATAATGGAAGGGTGACTTGGGATGTGCAATTTCGCAAAGACTTCCATGATTGGGAGCTCTTGGAAGTTATAGATTTCCTTGATTTGATTTACAACCAGGTGGTGGAGGATGTGGGTTTGGATGTGATGGTGTGGGAGGGATCCGTGAGAGGGATGTTTGATGTTAGATCCTTTTACCAAAGTCTTATGGAGATCCCTGGCTCCTCTTTCCCTTGGAGAGCTATTTGGAGGACGAAAGGCACTTTGAAGGTGGCTTTTTTTACATGCTCTGCTACACTAGGAAGCATACTCACCCTCGAAAACCTTAGAAGGAGACATCGGGTGAACTGGTGTTGCATGTGTAAGAAGTCGGGGGAATCTGTGAGCCACCTTCTGCTTCACTGCCTTGTGGTGAGGGATATTTGAGCTATGTTCTTGGTTGCTTTTGGTGTGGCTTGGGTGTTTCCTGAGTCCATGGTTGATTTGTTAGAGGCTTGGAATGGGTGTCTAGTATAGAACCGAGTCAGAGATGCTTGGAGGGCCACTCCCCTTTGTCTTTGGTGGGGCTTGTGGCGTGAGAGAAATATGAGATCCTGTGATGGGGAGGAGTCTCCTACTTGGTCTCTTAAATACAATATACTGTCTTCTTTATTCTTTTGGGTTAATGGGCGAAATTGTATATCTATGGATAGTCTTTTGGATTTTGTGGATAGCTTAAAGTTGTAGTGTCACTGTTGGCGGCTTGTATTTCCCTTGAGCACGCACCCCTTTTGAGTGCTTTTTAATGAATTATTACTTATCAAAAAAAAGTTGAGCATTAATTTCAATTACCTCGGCTTCAATTTCATCATAGAGGAATCGCTGCTTGAACACAATGAGTGCTTGCTGAGCAGAATCATTATAGACGTCAAATGGCATCAAAACACTCTCCAGGAGACCTGCACTTTGATTCTGCATCACGTAATCAACCAGCATCCAGGGAAGAGAGCATTCAATAGGAAACTGCACAGAGCCAACACAGACAAGTTTCTTACAAAGTAGTAGAAAGCGATAAAATGTGAAGAAGAAAATGTAAGGGGAGAGAAAATACGTACAAATTTAGCATTACAGAAATCAAAAAACAGAAAATTTGAAAAGCCATCAAACATTAAACAACCAGAGGACAATGCACATTATATATGGCTCATCACAGCAACGATGGGAATCATGAAATGGATGATGACAGCATTAATGTAAGAATGCAACAGTTGTGGGCCTGTGGCAATAGTGGCAGCTTCATGACGTTTTAATACAATATTATTAGACAGCCTAATAAGAAGTTAAAGACTTGATCGTTTGATAACAATAATATTACACAGACAAATTGCATATCAATAAATAAATCAATGCCTTCGCAAAAGAAGCATAATTTGAAAAAATATGAGAAGGAACACAATTTTCTTATATGACATTTTTAGGTGTTGCCTTGTCAATAAACAATCTCCTATTATAGAAACAAACCAAGGAACATAAAGACAAATATAATTGTTCCATTACCAGAACAAATCAAATACATACACTCTAACTTAAGCTTATTCATACTGAATGCAAGTAACGGTTTCATTCAATCGAGGGAAACCACTTCAACACTTATTATTGAAGCTGAGTCAGCATTCTATCTAACCCTGTCTGCCCAAGTTGCAGTCGTCTTTGCCCTATCCATCCAAGTTGTGGTGCCCTTACTTTGTATGATAGATATACAAACATTACTCAACATTACTATTACAAGTTAACAAAAAATACCAGATACTAGATTCTTCCAGAGTTACCAGAGTTACGGTTACATCCAATTTAATATTAAAATTGTTAACGTGTGTATATATGTACGCAGAAGCATACCTTATTGAATGGAATTTGGATCATACTGCGACTTTGTTACTATGTTGGGAAGAATTAATTGTAGAAGATTATATTGTGTTGTTGGCATTCTGTGACATTTATGAATAGGATTCTTGAAAAGGTAAAATACACTGGGAAGCTTACAGGAAGCACAAGCATACAGCTCATGGAAAAGATACAAAACCAAACTACTGGCCACGGGCTGAACCTATGGCAAAGAGAGTATCATTCGTATACTTCTTTCAGACTGTTTACCACATTCTCCTAACTTGAGTGCATTCCGACCTATTGAAGGACACAACAATATTTGGTTAGTGAGATTCTGAGCCCGCTTATGTTGATGACTGTAGATTCAAAGACTACTACAACAACAACAACAACCAGGGTCAGCTACATGAATCCCATGTTTCCTTTCTGCTCTAGATTCAAAGACTGGTCTATGAATCACTTGCCAAATATTAGCGAAGCAAACCAATTCATTTATACACCTCGTAAATTGAGTCGATTTACCAAATTCATCAAACTAGAAGGATAGAAAGCAGTGTAGTTGGAGGAAGCAAGAACCACGACATAGCGAAAATCCAGTAGTGGTAACCAGGTTAAGTGATAAAATAGAACATTGGGAGGAGAAGGGACACGGAGTCTCTGAGTCACTTTTGCATGAAGAATTTGTTAAATGGGTGTGGTTTTTGACTCCAAAGAGCCTATAAGATTTCTTTATGGAAAAAGAGTAGCCATTAACAGTGCCCATAGTCCTTACAACATGACAAACCAAGCAAATTGAGGTTGACAAACATTATCTTAGTAGAGTAGTAGCTTTATTGATCAAGAACTGGGAGCAAGATCATGGCCCAAGTAAAAGTTTGAATAGGCAGGCAAGGCCATAATTTAGGGAACAACAATCCACAGACCCTCTAGTCATAATTTCACAGAGAGAGTCCTAATGCTTTCTCATTCTTCATGATCTTAATTTCTCTTCCTTTTCCTCTGCTCCATTGATTATATCAGCAACTCATTTTTTTCAGAATCTTTTCTTTCTTTTCAGAAAAACAAAAAAAATGAAATAGTGTTCAAGTGCAGTTGCAATATTTGTCTCAAGACTATTTTCCCTAACTTTCATTTGCCGCCTAAAGTTCCAAAAGGAACATCAGAAAGTACTTTTGACATTTTCATTTCAAGATCATGTGAAAGAGGAATTGAAACCACAAAACTGACATGGCTCGAATTTGGTAGCTCTCATCCCTGTAGTTTTTTTTTTTTTTTTTGATAAGTAAGATTTTATTAAAAACGCTCAAAAGGGGAGCGAAGCCCAAAGAAACAAAAGGAAACAAAAGGGCCAAAGGGCACCTTAGACCTTCAAAGAGGCCAAGAAAACAATAATTTCCTCCATAGATCTATAATCTCTCCCTAAAACCCAACAAAAAAGAGTAGAAATAACAGAGAACTAAAGCATAGAAACAGGCTTCTTTTTTCCGTCAAAACATCTCCTGTTTCTCTCAAGCCAAATACACCACCAGATACAAAGCGACGTAGCCCTCCAAGCGTCCCTAATGCCAGCCCCAAGGAGAATATTTTTCCGCAATATGTATTAGGTACACGCACTCTATTGAATATTTTCCTACTCTTCCATTCCTTTAAATTCCAATATTTTCGAGAAGGTTCTCTCACCAACACATTTCCAATATTTTTTCTACGCCATACAGTTATAGCAATCTTAACTCTTAAGAGTAAGATAATACAATTTTTAGCTTCCCATTACTGAGAATCACAAGTACAAGACTTAAATCACTCTATCAATGCCCTTCTCGTTCATGCTAATATAAAAGGTCAAACTGAATAGAATTTCTATCACCCATCCTGATATATGACAAACTCACAGCAGATACAAGACATGATTTTATCCCAATAGTCTGTCAATCCTGTAATTTTAGTTATCAAGGCAGAGCAATACCACCTAAATGACACATACACGGCATGACAGTAAACATTTAAGAAGAAATCAAAATGTCATGTCCTATGAGTAAAAATGTCAGACTTCTAATCTTATTTACCTGAATAACACGAGAAGATTCCAAATAAAATTCTCTAAACCATAAGAAACCAAGATCTGTCAGAGTTGCAACAGTCACTGCAAAAACCATAATACCAAGGTTAATTTTAGCTATAAAAGAGTTCATGAGAATTACTGTGTCATTCTCTATTCGGCATCTTGCCTTATCGAGTCCAAAAACACCTACCATATTAAAAGTGTGGAAAGACTGAAAGAACAAAGCTAAAATATTTATTTTCACATATGATTTATTGAACATGAAAATGATGTGTCATATATTAAATAAGTTGAGCCATCATTACTTGTAATTTGATCCAGAAAATACTCCACAAATCAGAATGCCAAAATAATATAATATAGGATGCATTTAAAACAAAGAAGAATCAGTTTGTAGAACCTGTGTAATCTAATATATTCAGGAAAAAGCTAAGCTTGTAGAAGAAGGTTTCCAGTTGTTTTAAATCATTGACAGGAAATTCAGATCCACTATTTCCAAAGAGTCCCCCAGGCTTCCTGAGATTACCACCTGATACCACCTCATATATAAGGAACTGCAAGCAATGGACCTGAAAGAAAAAAATAATCAAATATAATTAAACATATATTTACAATCCCAATTAACATATTAAGGAATTGAATATCACATTTAAGTCAATATTTACTTGCCCAATAAACTTAAAAAGAACATATTGATATGCTGAGGCATTCTACTAAAATCTACCTACCCATTCCTTTTTCTTTTTATTATTTATTTTTTTTCTTGTTTGGACCAGAGATACAATGATAAAATTCAAAAAATACAGATTTTGGAAATGCTCGACAGAAATACACAAGGATTCACACCAGAGGATACACTGGCGGAGATTGCATTTGTCATGATGGAGATTACTGTGGATATAAATTATAAGTTTGAAGAAAGGCAATAAATTTTCTTAAGGTTCTAAAATCTGACTTCATAATAAATTTTACCCTCCTTGAAGTTGATATTCTGAAGGAATTTCACTTTCACTCAAACAAGAAAACTTGTACAAACTCAGAAATGCAGATATGAAAAGAACAAGACTCAGTGAAAAGCAGACAAAGACAAATCAAAAGAAGCTAAAAATGCTACAGAAATCAACTATGTGGACACTTTGACATGCTTATCAGCAAAATCACATGCTCTCATGCATGCATGACAAACTGAAATTTAAAACATAATAATAAAAAAATTATGACTGTTCAATAAAAACAACAGAATTTAGAAAAAGACGGTGGGTGGACATTGCAACAAGAGAGAACATATTATGAAAAGAGAAATGTTTTGATGAGGGTGAGTGAGCTTGCAATCACATCAGCATTTGATTGGCTGAATTCACCAGCCATGTTATCCAACGGTAATGAGGGCACAAGCTCACTGAGGGCGGCCACATCATAGTCTTTGCCTTTAGAAAAATATATGTGTTGAACTCCAGCACATATGCATACATAATGCATATTGTGTTACTCCATGCCTTAAATTAATCATTTTAAGAAATTTGAATGCCAAATATACCAGAAAAGAAATAGTGGATGAGGAATTTGTCTACACAAATTGCACCCTTTTAGTATTACAATGATACTACTACCAGAAATAATGAAGGAAGAAAGAAGTAAACTAAAAGGAAAAATTGAATATGAACAATAAATGGCATTTAAGGAAAGAATGTAGGAAACAAGTAGAATAAAAAAAGAGAAACCTGTGCGGCAGTTGGTGCTACTGGCCTTGGATAAAAGAAATTTCCTTTGCTTTCTTCTCCTCCATGCTGTGATGATTGTAACTCAGATTCAGGCTTGCTTGTATTTGCCATCCAGTCCGCAGAAAGAGTTCGCATATCAGAAAGAATCCTGACAATCGCCATTTGGACAAGAAGTAAGCAACTAGAAGACATGTTCCTTTTAGCCAGACAATAACTTTTCCATGGCAATGAATTCACACAACAACATATTGCTGTCAATTGACGCTTATCATGGAAAATATGACCCATGCCTTACAAACTGAAGAACCACAGAGTGTTGAAAGGTTCATCTGCACTCTCATAGATTGCAAATTGTAAGGGTTGGAGTACAGTATGCCTATTGTTTATCTCTTAAGGGAAAAGGGCTAAGTACTTATCAAAAAAAAGGGGGGATAAGGGCTAAGACAGTTAATGTTAGTTTTATAAAATAGAGCTAGACAGAAAAAAGGAAATTGTACACATTAGCTGAATTAAACAATTTTTGTTCACTTGTTACAAGTGGAGCTGAAACTTATATAAAAGTTGAAAGATTCATCTGCACTCTCGTGGATTGCAACTTGTAAGGGTTGGAGTTTAATATGCCTATTGTTTTCTGGCTACCCTTAATAGAAAGAAGGGCTAAAACAGATCTTGAATATTAGTATTTTATACATAGAGCTAGTAACAGAAAAAAGAAACTTGAAAACAATAACTGAATTAAACAATTTTTGTTCACTTCCATAAACAAGTGGAGCTGAAACTTGGATATCATACCTAATGGAGACCAAGATCAAACAAATAACCAGCTCATCATTCAAGTACACAAGTTCAGGAGATTTTAGTGAACACCGTAAACCAGGCTTAACCTGTGGAGTCTTTTTATGTTTCACAAAATTATATATTATATGGTCCTACAATACATGCAAGTAGACAGGTGTTTAGTTTTTAAGAAAGAAATGTTCAAATAATGATTTGAAGGTCAAACATACTGGAGAAACTTTAATTATCCAGTTACATTGTACAAGGTCTAATGCCCACCTAGAGAGGTCCTTCTTCTTTCGGAAGGTAGTCCGCAACATAGTGGCTAATGTATTTTGCACGAAATCTTGGACCTCAGCATGGATAGTCTCCCACAAGGCATCAGCTACCAACGTGTCGCACCGCTGCATCATTGTTCCAACACTCTTAATGTAGCTAACAAGTTCAACCAAAGTTTTCCTTTCCTCTGCACTATAATTGAATCGTACCACCTACATGATAAATCAAAAATTTACCATCGTTTAGCTCAAAAAAGAAAAATAAATTTCATGCATTACATACAATGGCAAAATATCCAAAATTGTTGTTCAAATTCAACATTTTTGTCCTAAAATAAAAGTGATAGTCTATGAAATAATAGACTGAAATGTAAACAAGAATAATAGAAGCAGAAGAAATAGAATTTAGTGCACAATGCGACAGTGGTTGCCTCTGAAGCTAGAGTGTATATATTGCTCACGAAGAGATTTACAGAAATTGCAGAAAGTTGACCCTTAAACAATGTCTTAATGAGGGTATCTCCAGCTGCTAACTACACATAAGGTATGACCACATTTTTGTTCATTGCCACACCCAATAAATGATAAGCTGTCCCAATATGTTACCTCCTCGCATGAACTACTGGTCGGGCAAAAGACTAATCATTGCCAAACATCCACTTGAAAGTACTATCTTTCCATTTTGCTTTTTTTTTTTTTTTTTTTTTTGAATAGTTGATAATCCACATGCCATCGGGAGTTGGATCGGAATTACTAGCGTAGCATAAAAATATTGTAGAAAAACATGCATGTAACTATTATTTTTGATGATCACATGTGGTGGTGTTATTGATGTCAATTGTCACGCCCCCAGATTTGAATATAAGGGCATCTTGTCCTATAGACCATACACAAATCTAGTCGTGAACTGCCAACTGGAAACATATTCCAATGCAATAAATGAAATGATCTACATTCACTTCCTGATTGTGATGTGGGCGGGGCGCATATGAGAATCAAATAAAAAAAAATTATTAGAGATGTAAAAATAGTTAGAGGTATATCCAAAACGGGACTTGTGAGAGATTGGACTCATCTCTGGGAGGTTTCTTTGGCTTATTTTATTCTCAAATAAAACAAAAAGGAAAAGTGAATGAAAACTCTAATATGATGTCCTTTATAGGCCAGTTAAAATGTTGAAAGTAAAAAAGATCTCAAATATCCATAGAAATCATAAAAGACTCAAGATTAATAAATAATAAGTCTTTAAACCGTCCCTCATACATCAGGCCTGGTCTGACCCACTGGCTAATTGTTGGCACATCCCAGGCATCCCTGGGGCTCTGATAAGCAGATATATACTCCAGGAGTTCAGAAAACCCAGCAGCAAGTTAAATCCATCTTCATCTGCTAAGTTGCTTTTGGTCACATGCTGAATCCTTCCTCGCTTATCTGTGCCATCAGAATGTGTCTTGCCATTCAATTAAACCAAGCATTCCCTTTGAGTTTGTCTGTCTGACTTCAGACCCCTTGTTGTGATGACATCTTCTTCTCCCCCTAAGATACTCATCTCTTCTAACTCAGCTGCTATCTCTTCGGCTTCTCCATGGTTCGGGTAGAGGTCGGAAACATTGCAGACTAGTGTAATCTTCCATGTATCTAGCAGCTGCACCTGCTAAGCATTGTGGTTCACAATCATCATTGCCATGAATGGCCCGTATTTTTTTCCTTAACTTTTCATCTTCCTGTTGGAAAGTGCTCCTTTCTAAGGTAAACCATAATAAGGTCAGCCTCGTGAAGCTCCGCTCTCATCGATGCTTGTCAGCTGCTGCTTTACATATCTGGCTCACTCCAACCACGCCCTTCCTTACAACTAGGAATGGCAATGAGGCAGGTACAGGGCGGGGTCCCCCTCCCCGTTTAGGAAAGAAGTCCCCCAGCCCGCCCAGCCCAGCCTCATTCAGGGGAAGGCACGTATCCCCATCCCGCCCTGTTTATCTCTCACCACATTCCCACCCTGCCTCTGATTTTCTTTAGGCTGATTTTTTATAACTTCATTTAATATATCATGCTAGTATGCAACATACTTGATAAATGGTTACCAAAAAACACAATCAGGAATTTAAGATTATATGTATGTATTTGATATATTTTAGTAATAAAGTTAAAAGTAAAATATATTATTGTATATAAACGGGGCAGGCCAAGGATCCCTTCCCCATCCCCGCCCCACTCACGTGCAAGTATTCTTTCATTTACCCCATCCCCGCTGCAAACCCACTTTATGTTCTCCCCAAACCCATTAAGCAAGTGCTACGTCATCGTCACTATGCTGCGCTAACAAAGATAGTGAGACAAAGTAAACTTCATCCTCGGAAAGCATCCATAAATCACCTCAAATGGTGTTTTCCCTGCAGTGCAATTCACAGAAATTTTGTAAGCAAATCCAGTGTAGCAGGCATTTATCCCTTTTTTTTCAAATTGTCCCCAACAATACTCTTAATAGGATTTTTATCACACCCATTTTTTGCAACGATGTTCTCAATAAATGTCCCACAAACTTCACATTTCAATCAGAAGTGATTGCTTTCGGCAAGCCATGATCTAACGTTCTTATTGAAAAATGTCTGAAATGTTCTAATCTGACTTGCATCTGTCATTTTTTAAAAGGGTAAAAAATGCATAGGAAAATCTATCAACAACTAAAAATGTAAAATCAAACCCACCTGCATCTCGTGAAAATCCTAGTACAAAGTCCATGCATCATCCCAAGGTCCCTTCAGAATTGGAAGAGGTGTGCACAGGTTGGTGTTCTGTGCATGTCACTTGGCAATTTGGCACTGACAGTACTTTCTGTAAGGTCAATACTCAATAGGAGTCGGCAAATTTTGTTCAAAACAAGATCTGTACTTTTGATTCTTAGTTTTGTTTATTTTTTCTCAAAAGCTAGTTTAATTTGTTGAGTTATCTTTATGATTTATCCAAAGGCAAACAAGATTCAAGAGTATCAACAAGGGATAAAGGTTAAAAACTCTCAACTTATGCACTTACCAAATTAGGGTTCATATTGATGCATTCTCATATTAAACATGTTAGAGTTTAAAATTTATAAGATCTGATCTTATAAATATGTTTTTGTAACGCATAGAAATGTCTTTTAATCAGAAAACCCAAGTATACCAGTATAAGGGAGTTCAGTTAGTCGGACCTCACTACTTATCAAAAAAAAAATCAGTCGTACCTCACTGGACTAGGTTCAATCGATTGAACCTATGCCTCGATTGATCGAACTGTGCAAAAAGGCAGTTTCCAAAAAGGTATAAGCACCAAAACCCCTAAACCTTTTCAGCCTCAAAGGTCTATATAAAGGCCTTGTGTTTTCTAAACAACACATAAAGCATATTCTAGCATTAAAAGAGCATTGTGAGGCAAACCTAAGTGCATTCTAGCAATGAAATTGCTAACTTTTTGTTTCTTTTCATTCATCATCATACCATATAAATGGTGTGTTTTTTAGTGCTGATCACATGTAATGTTAGAGCTAAAAGGATTTCAACATAAAGCTTAGACGAATAGTAAAGGATATCAAAATACGAGTTAAAGAGTGGATTTCAATTTGTCGAATGTCAGCAGCAAAGTTCGAGGAGAATATCTGGTGTGAGTCTAGGTCAGAGGTAAGTTCGGTGATTCTAGAGCTTGAATCTGATACCTAGGACTGTAATACCTTTCTTCTTAAGCAGATTTGATCTACCTGGACTAGGTCCCGTAATTTTTTCCTAATGGGCACGTAAAAACAGGTGTTCTTGTGTAGATACTTTTTATGCTTTATATTTCTGTACCATGCGTAGTTTCACTTGTTTAGTTTATTTGAATTTCGGTTTCTCAAGTTAGATAAAATTTGAATTTTCGTTGTAAGTAGATAATTTCATCATGAGATCTATTCATCCCCTCTCTATATCTAATTCAGGGCTTAGCAAACTCTGACTATCAGAGCCTAGGCCCTAGGATTATAGTCTTATCCCTCACCTTTAACCAAACACAAGAACCAATAATATCTTTCCTGCATAAGAGCCAAGGTTTCGCTTTGGCGGAAGTGTCCCCACAATCCTCTTGCATGTAACTCTTGAATCACCTCCTTCTAAGTGATCATTGAGGCAAACATAGTTGATTCCCATTAAAAACAAACCCATCTTGACTATCTTATAACTTGTGTGTTCTTGTGCCCTAGGCAAACGCTATCCACAAGTCTCCAAAATCAGAGTTGCAAATATGATTTCTTGATGGCTTCCAATAACTTCAGATACATCATGGTAAGCAAAATGAGGTATCTGTTAAAGTCCTCTATAACTTTGTTCTGAGCAAGGAATTCATGCCTCAACACAAACATATACACTTTGTAAGAAACTTGTAGTAGAAATATAAAAAGATGAGAAATGAGATAATTGTGTAAAGACTTGAATGAGATAATCACTCATTCACAGCTCTAGTATTTATAGATAAAAAGAGCATATTCTATAGCAAAATCAAATCTCTGCTAATACGGTAAGTCATTCCATAAATCATGGCTATCATATCTGCTAACACTCCCCCGCAAGTTGGTGCATGGATATCTGAAACGCTCAATTTGGACAATGCATTTTCAAACGCAATCTTGATGACGCCCTTTGTAAGAATGTCTGCAAGCTACTAAGAGCTTGTGATAAATGGAGTGCAAATGACTAGCGATGATTTTCTATCAGATGAAGTGCCGATCAACAAAAAAAATTGTCTCCTTAGACAATAAACAATTAGCAATGTCTCCTCAGAACATAAACAACCCATCATGTCCCCTCAGACCGTTTCCCTTCATACACATGTTTAAAACATGTAGATGAAAGAATCGACAATGTCTCCTCAGACCATTCCACTTCATACATATGTTTAAACAATGTAGATAAAAGAATCAACAATGTCTCCTCAGGCCATAAAAAGAAACAACTATGTCTCTTCAGACCCTTTCTAAATAAATGGTGTCAAACTCGCAACGCCCTCATTAAGGTCGGACCACCCTGCCTACCCGACACCTCCCGGATGGGCAATGTCACCTTAGACCATTCCCGAATGGGTGGTGCCGAACTCGCAATGCCCTCATTGCAGTCGGACCACCCTGGCTCTGATACCAAGTAGAAATATAAAAAGAAGAGAAATGAGAAAATTGTGTAAAGACTTGAATGAGATAATCACTCATTCACAGCTCTAGTATTTATAGATAAAAGAGCACATGCTCGTATTACAAAAAAGGAAATTAAATCAAATCACACCATATTCTATGGCATATTATATAGCATATTCTATAGCATAATCAAATCTTTGTCAATACAGTAAGTCAATCCATAAATCGTGGTTATCATATCTGCTAACAGTTGTCTATTTTGCAAGTCAAGCCTTTGGATCAATCAAGTAACAATGCCAATGTTCCAAATCATGGAACCAAATAAAATTCTGCATTATATACCAAACTACGTTTCTTAGCATAGATCAATTTTTCGCTAAAGAAGACTATTGAAGGACATCCTTCTTGAGTTCAAACTCCACCAATACCCACAATGCTAGCATCACATTCTGCCTCAAACCCGTTCTCAAATGATGGCAATCTCAACAATGAGATTCTGCTTTAGTAATTGTAAGCTTCTATTGGCAACTGGTGTCCAATTAATTCGCCCTTCTTCATACAATCTACAAAAATGGTGCAATAATACTGCTGAATCTCTCAAAATTACCTGTAAAAAGTAGTTAGTTCATGGAAACGCCTCACCTCCGTTCAATTACGAAGTTTGCACGCTCAATGATAGCATGTATCTTTTCAGGGTCAAAATATAGCATTTCCAATAAATGCTACCTTATCTGTCATAAACATGCATTTCTTGGTGTCCACGTACATTTACACATTTCTCAGCAGGAACATAACTTGAAGCAAGTAATCAAGGTGTGAATTTAATGTTATACTAAATATAATAACATCATCAAAATACACGACAACATGTGTCATTAAGGTTTTCATGCAACAAGTAAGCTCCATTAATTCCATCTGAAGACCCCTAACAACTTTAGGCCTCCGTGACTGTTTCCATGCCAAGGGTTTATCCTCCGTATATTTCTAAATTCACGGGTACACCAGTTTGAACTGCTAAACGATTAAAATATTGAAGTTACACCCTCTCTAAGAGCTTAAGCTTTTGGAGTTGATGGTTGTTAACATGGCATCTGAGCAGGCAAGGTCTAGCGTTCAAACCTCACCGTCACCCATGATAATTAAATGAAATGCGTGTTGGACCAAAAAAAGGCCGCACGTGAGGGGGTGTGTTGAAGGATTTAAATATTAAAGTTACACCATCTCTAAGAGCTTAAGCTTTTGGAGTAGATGGTTGTTAATAGTAACACTAGATGACCATCTGGCCACTAAAAGATGATTCGGCTTTCCTCCTCTGTCCAGAAGTCCCTTCCACTTTGCCTTCAGATATTGCGTGCTCTCTCGATCTCATCTTTAAAGCAACCACACGAGATCTGGAGTACCCTAGTCACCTCATCCAAGATGTGCATTGATATCTTTCATGTTTCCATCCATCCTATTCCTATCCATGCATGTTCGCAAAGTGCCCTCACAGTTTCTCATGTTGTAGTTTACAGCCCTTTGACATTTTTGGTTGGCATATCTCCAATCTGGTAAAAACTCTTAAACCTGACTCAGATAAACTAAAGGAAAAACTGATCTGAGACCTAACCTCTAAGGCTCAAACATAGAACTCCTTGAGGCTTTTCACCTCAAAGCATCCTTTCTATCACCCAAAGTAAGCTAACTCTTGGCAAAACAAGAGGTTTCCTCTTAGAAGTTAGGAGACCTTGGAAGTCACTCCTAAGCTCCTCGAGGTATAACAGTAACAGGTTTCTAGGAATTATGAGTCAGACAGTATACTTTCTCTTTTCCTGTTCTTACTCTGTGTTGCATGGTAGAGTTACTCTTAGACGGCTTTCCCACGTTCCTCTCGCTTGCATAGTTCCTTTCAAAAATCTATATCATATGCCTACGTCTTGTATTGGAAAAATAGAAATTGAGCTTTCCTCCATTACAACTGTTTAAGTTGTCATAGAATAATACTAGAATGAAATTTGAATTAACAACAAATATAGTAAAAAGACCTCAGCAATTTTTTTTTTTTTTTTTTTTTTTTTTTGATAAGTAAAAAGACCTCAGCAATTTGTAGAACATGAGCAATGGAACCAATAACTCCTAGCATAAACCAGCATCTAGAGAAGCCAAAGAAATGGAGATGCATCGGAAAACAGTGAAAAAGAAAAGAAAAGAAAAAAAAAGCCGAAGCTTATGTATCCTACATATCAATAGGAGCCCAAAAGAGGGATAAAAATCAAAGTGGAAACCTTTTCATAATCAGAAAATGATGCAGAAGTATCATGTGATTCCGTAGGACCTAGGTCCTTGCAGGGGCGGGAGAATTTCCATGCACACTGCTCCCAGATGCGTGAAGTCCATCTGCTTAAGAGCTGAAAACCTTCAACTACCATATCATACATGTTTCCTTTGACTTCCTTGCTCCACTCAATATCTGCACCATCTATTGATTTCAATAACACGAGCTGCACAAGTAAGGATCCACAAGTACACATGCATTAAAAAAAATTAATAAATAGAGGTCATCGCAATTTGCAGGTACTCATTAAACAATAGTAGAGAAAAATACAAGAAATTGTTTTTTGTAACCTAATTGTATAAAGATGCCAAAATTTGCTGTTTCACTTTTTAAGTTTTCACCATACATAAATAAATATATACATGTTGTCTTTGTGTGTGCTTACTGCTTATATATATATAATTATGTATGTGTGTGTGCGTGCATCCAATAGGGAGAGATACAAATGAAAGGAGCACCTGATTCATAGATGAAGCAAAACGAAGAGTGAAGTCATCATGCCCAGCACGAATCGCTCCAATGTGACTGGTGATCAGATAATGCCGCTGATAAGTGAACTATGTTAAGGCCTTTGTCAAAAAAGACGAAACAGTTAGAGATTCTTTAAATTTTGCCGGTAAGAATGTCAAGTTACAAAAGCAAGTTTCCATACCTAATGAACAAGACATAAGTTCTAGAGATACATATCAAAGCTCATTAAAGGATAGATGATTTGTTTACTACATCTACACATCACTAGATGCAGAAAATATATAGTTTCCTAATGAAATACATTTCAATTTTCTTATTTTTAACAAGTAAAATACATGTAATTTTCATGTGTTAAATTTCAACAAAGATTACTTCATTGTTAACTAAAATTCTATAAGTAGCTTTTAAGGAATCTTGTCTAATTTCAAAGATTATAATTTCTCTTAGCATCAAATGTGTGTGTGTGTGTGTGTGTATATTTTCCCGTGAAGAAGGTCAAATATAATAAGAATATATATAAAATGAACTTACAAAAATTGGGTCTTGCAAACATCTAACAAATTTCATGGTAACCAAAGCCCTCGTGGCGATTTGAAAAGTCAAAAGCCTCAAAGGGCCAACCCTTGAGCACCCCAAGCCCTGGTATCGCTTCAGGCCCATCTAGCCTCGAGGGACCAACCCTCGAGCACCCCAAGCCCTGGTATCGCTCCAAGCGCAGCAAACCTCGAGGAACAAGCCCTCGAGCAGCCCAAGCCCTGGTATCGCACCAGGCCCATCAAGCCTCGAGGGACCAACCCTCGAGCACCCCAAGCCCTGGTATCGCTTCAGGCCCATCAAGTCTCGAGGGACCAACCCTCGAGCATCCCAAGCCCTGGTATCGCACCAAGCCAAGCCCTGGTATCGCACCAGGCCCATCAAGCCTCGAGAGACCAACCCTCGAGCCATCTAAAGCAGCTGATCGATTAATAAAGTTATGAAGTTTAACATCCTTAAATTGTTCTCCATGTGTATCACATATGGATTTTTTTTTTGATAAGTGTTATCACATATGGAATTGTCCTCCCAAACGTGTTTCAATTCCATTAGGAGACATTTAGCTTTATTTATCTTTTCTGATATGTACATTTTTTGTTCTATTTATCTTAGAAGTATCCAAATGCTTACTTTACACATGTCCACATATTCTTCCCAAATTATTGATTTGGAATAGATGGCTTGTCTACAGCCATCACAAATAAATGCATAAAGCCAGTCATTTATCATTTTCCCACCAACTCCCCACCATAACATTCAACCAAGTCATTAAAAAAGGAAGCCACCAGTGTGACTATCTTTTATGCTGCTCTTGAAGAGGTATCCCATTTATACATCAGCAACAATAATGAACAACAAAAATTAGAGACCTCGACGAGCTAACAGTATGTTTCCATATGCATAAGTAGCAATAAGTTACTAATAAAGAGTGAATACAGCATAAGATGTTCAACTTATCACAAGATTATATTAACAAAAAAAAAAATTAACAAATATGAGGATATTCTTGTGCTTCACGAGGTGGGAGCTCATGAGGTGCTGGAAGACTGAGAAGACGAGTTTGGGCAGAAAATTTTGGGAAGTATATCGACAGCTCTTTCAAAATTGCAGCTGGAGAAAGATGAAGATCTGGGAATGCAGGTATGACTGGATCATTCTACAAAAAAGAACAAGCATTATACAAAAAGAAGTCTACAGACCTTAAAACTTGAATTAGAAATTATTTACTAGTAAACAAGATAACACAATAGGAAGCTATATATTTTTTGACTGTTACTAGTCAAACCTAAGTTATTAATAGAAGATAAGAACAGCTACCTTAAATATATTGATCAGCCTATTGATTTTCACCCTCTTATACAGTGATTCACTATCTTTATCTGATGATGTTGCTAAGACAACCAGAACAGGCAAAACACGAAGAAGAATGTACCGCTCTGGAAATAGAAGCGCAAAGTCCAACTCCAGTGATTCAGTAGCAAAGACTATGAGAACTTGAAGAATGTCTTCTACACTATGTTGAGTCAAGGAACTTAGAAAAGAGAGAGACGCGTGCGCACACAAACACACACACACACACACACAGATGTATCAAGCTTCATGTGCGTCCAGTTGGAAGCAAAATGCAGATAAATATTATATTTCTGGGGAACAGCAAGTAGCATGTATGTCAACCAAAAAAGTCTCAACGCAAGCAGCACTTTTTTTTTTTGTTACCCTCTTGGTATATAAAAATGAATATAACAGACAAAACTAATACTATATACAGGCAGGATACTTGTTCACACGGAACATCTCAACATGCAAGTTCAATAAAATTGCCCACCTCGTGCTCAAGAAAATCTGCAAAACAATACGTATCATTAAGTCAAGGAGAACAGTGTGTATCCATTATCCAGCCAGCCACAATATCAAACTGTCATTGGACAAAACTAGAAGAACAATTAAACAATGCATGCATCATTTGCTGTTGTTTCATGGAAGATAAAAAGGAAATGCATTACCAACAGGCCAGTGTCCTAGCGGTATCAGCCCTTACTTCCCAAAGGAAGGTCAGGGGTTCAAGTCTCAGTAGAGATGTGTGTGTGAGTACCAACTATGAAAAACAAAAAAAAAAAAAAGGAAATGCATTTACCTGTAGGTCATCCAATTCTTCCCTCATTGAATCAATATCTTGCCACTGAACACTGACTTGAGTGAATGTCCTGATAATTAAGAAGCAATTAAATAATTATATAAAGTACAAAAAACAAAGAAAAAATAATTTGAACTGAAAGAAGCTAATTCCGTAAAAAGCTGCCAATGTTGTGCAGGATAAATGTTTTTCAACGGAAATATTATGCCAGGAAAAAAAATTGAAAAAAAAAAAAGAGAGAGAGAGCAAGACCAGAGTTAACATATAGAAGTTTAAGCCAGATCTTTATAAACATATAAAGATGCAGTTGAAACTTTTTTGGTGGAATACTTGCAGGAGAACTATCCAGTAATTCAGTGAACAACTCATAGAAAGAATAATACGAAATAAACAATAGATACCATAATTATTGTACATAGTCTACCACACGTGCAATCAATGCCTTCATTAATAAAACCTAACAGTGTGTCTATATATATGTACTGCCTTCAACCCAACCCAAGCCTGATCAGACCTTCAACCTAAGCTCAACCTGCACTTGAACCTTTGAGATTGGGCTAGGCAAGTTTGGGTTGAAGATCGAGTTAGGTTCGAGTTGATGGTAACCCAAAGCTTGGGATTTTTTAACACCAGGTGTTGAACTACCACTGCAATGGCAGATCAGCCAATACACTGACAGTTACGGCACCGCGATGGCCAATATGACTCCATAAAGATAGAGTCTATTGTGAAAATATTTAGAACCAAAATATTGATGCAACTTAAACTCACAGGCTCCCGATTGTGTTACGACTCGAACAAGTCACACCATAACAGCTTTGTTTTGAAACCGTGGTTACTCTACCATTATATATTAAACATTAAAAGAGATGCAAAACCTAGATATGGCAGCATGTTAAGAATAAGGATATTTAGTACTTAATAGGCATACCTCTTATACCAAGAGAAATCATTAGGTATGCTTGCTTTTGCATTTTTAAGATGATCAAGTTGCACCAGAACATCAAGTAACTTCAACATGGACCTGCGGTAAAGTAATAAATTAGCTAAAGCATACATTTAGGTTAGCCAACAACAAAAGGTATGACAGAAAGAAATTAAATTAAATACATTGTTCGCATATAATAAAACATCTGTTATTATACAACATAAAACTAGTATATGGGCATAGACAAATTCTTTCATCACCAATGAAAAATGGGTACAGTGGAATAGAAGCCATTTCATGTAGAATAATCATTGAACTTTATTCATTTATTCAGATGGCGCCATGTGGAAGACATAGAAAACTAATTCCTTCAACACAACATCAGAATTTGTTTGGAGGAGTGAAATGGACATCACTTTATCAAGATGTCAAATAGTCAGCCGCATTCCCCAGACACCTGAAAAAAAGACTGAATATACAGCTAGCAAAGACATTGTATGTTGAAGGATTTAAATATTAAAGTTACATCCTCTCTAACAGCTTAAGATTTTGGAGTAGATGGTGGTTAACATGGTATCAGGGCAGGCAAGGTCCTGTGTTCGAACCTCACCATCACCCGACAATTAAAATTGAAACATGCGTTAGACCAAAAGAAGGCCACAGGTGAGGGGGCATGTTGAAGGATTTAAATATTAAAGTTAGACCCCTCTATCAGCTTAAGATTTTGGAGTATATGGTTGTTAACTAAGTGAGTTATAGTGTATAAATCCAACAATTTGAAAACAGCATCGCACCTTCTTGGTCAGATGTGACCAAAAGATAATGAATAGCTTAGGGAAAGATGTCAAGTGTCTTATAAATTGCACAACCACATGCATGGTGACAAGAGACATTACGTATCATTGGCACATCAACAAGTGGCATGACACTTATTGCTGGATTGCAATCCCAACATCAGCGCTTGGGTAATGGAAGTGTGGTACTCGAGAAACAGAAATTGGTGGCAAAAGAGATGTACTTCATACAATCTACTATTCTCCTAAGTCATGTTTCTATATTACTAAGCCCAACGGTTTTTCACCCATCTTCCAACTAGAACTGTTTGGAAAACCAAGGTTTTACAAAAGGCTAAGGCTTTGGCCGGGTTGCGCACAAGAATGTTAATACTAACAAGATGTTTTATATTAGAAGTCCTTGTAAAGCCAGTGTCCCAAACAAGTTCACTCTTTGTAAAAACAATAGTGATAGAATTGATCATCTCTTGTGCACTTCATACGCTTTGTGGAAAAAAATAGCTGTTTGACGGTTTTCTCTTTGGAATATGAATTTTTACTTGATATCTCCTTTGATATTCATGTCAAGGACATAGAACTAATATAATTTGGTAGCATGCTATGTGATATTGCTAATAAGTTAAAAATGCCATAGGTGTGCTGGTTTGATTGCTAGCTTTATACAGTTCTCTGTGTATATGTGCAGATGGGTAGCAGGTTAACTGGATATGTGTGGGGTATTCGAATGCTGTTTCTGATCTGGATTTCTGTTTCTGCACCGTTCTCTGCTTCTAAGCATTTGGGGATTGTATATGTTATGTGCTACAATAAGTATATGCTCTGGTACATGGATGATCAGATCGACCAGTGTTGGAATTGTGTTAGCTGGATCTGTATTAGAGGTCTGCAGCGGTTTTGGCCTTGTGATCAGTGGCTTTCCATTTGTGGGGTGTTCGGGTGTCGGATTTTCTTATCTACCCTCTGTGAATGCTGGTATTCTTTTCTGGGTGATGATTTTTTTGGTCATTTTGCTCCTCTGTCCAACAGATATGTTTTGGATCAGAAAACTCAATTTTCTTGATGTTGTACTTTATTCAAAGGGTTTGCTGTTATTTTTTAACTATTTCCATTAGTTCTCTTTCCATTCATTTTTGGTTGGATGGAACTTTCTATAGTTTTATAGGTGGTTGGCTTGTATTGCATTGGGGCTAATGACCCCTGGCTTATTGTATTTTGTTAGTTTAGTTTGCTATCAATAAAATTTCCTCACTTTGTGAGAGTTGCAATTGCCATTTTGTAATTTTTGTCCTTGTAGAAGCTTTGAATTCATTGTCTTCCCCTTGGACACAGGTAATTCAACTAACTACCAAAAACTAACTTTCAAAAACATAATAAAAGAAGCAGAACTCAGGATTACATACTTTGTTTTGTACTAAATTTTCCAAGCCAAGTTCTACTTGACTTACAGGGTATTCATGTTCTTTGTCATGGAAAGATGGGTTTAGGGCCACAAAGGATGTATGGTTTTCAATTTTGTTTAATGCAACAGTGTCAGGATCTGTTAACAGTTTTCTAGGCTTGGTCAAGTGGATCCTCTCTCCCCTCTTTTATTCATTATGGCGATGGAGCCATGTAGCAAGATATTTGCATGGCAATGGAAGGGGGGCTTTTTGAGAGGTTTCGAGATTTGGATAGTTAGAGGTGCTTCCCTGTTAGTCTCCTACCTATTGTTTGCAGACAATACTATTGTTTTCTTTTGGGGTTAGAAGATACAATTGAGATGTCTGTTGAGGCTGAGTTTATGATTTGAAGGAATCTCTGGTTAAATATTAAATTAGTAAAAAGCAGGCTTATCCAGAGATGGAGGAGATGAATGGTTCGGCAGTTATTTAGTGTTGCAAAGTCAAGATTGCCTAATGGCTCCTCATCAAACCTAAGGTCGTTAGGGACACAGTCATAAAGCGCTTCAAGAGGAGATTAGAAAAGTAACTATCTCTTCAAGGGGTTAGTTGACTCATATTAAAAGCACACTTTCCAGCTTGCCAACATGCTATCCGTTCCTTAATCAGTCTCAGTCCAAAAATGATTAGAAAAGCTTCAGAGAAATCTTTATGGGGAAGCATGGGAGATGAATTTAAGAATTATCTGGTAGGATGGAGATGAAGAGTAGCTTTTTGTGCAAAAAGTGAAGATAGGAAGAAAGAAAAGAACCATTGAGTAGTGATTTTACAATATAAACGTTTCCGGAAAAAGCAATATGATTAGAGCCATTCAGCTTCAAATTGACATTTCCACGATGTTGCATGACTGGGCTACATGTAAAGCACTAGAAAATCGTATATGTGGAATTTTCTTAGTGTTTGGAAACTATCGACGATGGTTGTCAAATTTGCTGCATTTTCTTCTACTGATATGAACAAGGCAATGTAACTAACTCATTAAGTTCTCCATATCTGAATGCACAGGCTACTAACTTACAGAAAATTCAAATAACAAATTTAGTTTCATTTATGATAAGAACCTTCAAAACTTATGGAGTACATCATAAGATCTTTAATCTGTAATACTTACTACGATGTTATAAATCTCTTCGGTAGTTTATCATAGTCTTTCATTGATTCTTCAATTCAGTGTTAGAAAAACTATACTTTACAGTGTTTCTTGTTTCTATTTTTTAGCATCAGCATCCATAGATATGTCCAAAATTTTGGATCTCACTATGTATATTAATATGGATATTTGAAACCTTTAAGAAACATGAAAGTTCATCACACTAGGAGGGTATTTAGCACGTCAATAATAAAGTTCTCCAAGAAATGGTGGAATATGGTGGTGCAAATTCAACTTGCACATCCATACGATGCTTCACTTCCAATACTATTTAGTACGAACCAAATCTTCCAGTTTCCACCACAAATAAAATATAAGGAACGCATGTTGAAAACTCCAGATTGACTTTTTACCACTAAAATAGCAAGTATATTTTACCAAAAAGGCATAAACTAACAAAGAAACAACTCTTTAGAAGTGCATTTAAAGCACCTTGAGAAAATTAACCCATTGCAGTAAGGTTTAGCCCTATTTTTCATTTCAAACTGCAAATAATAATACTACATTTCAGAGGAAAACTCTGAACGAAAAACATATCCAAAGTTAAGTAATAATGCACCAGAGATGAGTTATAGTAGGACCATTGATGCGTCGCTCGGGCCTAGAAAAGCGTTGCATATCAGCTGCTAGCTGCATTAGAGAATAACAATATTTCCTTCTGAGACCTCAAACACAATCTTGAATATTGGCTTCAGACTGAAAATTTGAAAAATGTGTGCTCATACCTTAGATGCAGCGGAAGCTTGCCATCGTTGAATCTCACGCAAACGACTCATTTCCAAGTCCAGAACTTGATAAGTTTCAAGATACAAGTCAGCCTGACTTTGCTTCATGGAATCTGGAAGCTGCCATATTATGTCTACGATCTTATAAGTTTTTATAAAAAATATAAGGATACAAAAATCTGAGATAGCTAATAAATTAGTCTTATCAATTAAAGTCCAAGGGATTGCAATTAAACATCATTAACCATCATATGGCTGCGAATGGAATGAGTTTTGTTGGTCAAAATAAAGTCATGAATATCAACCTCAGGAGGAGCTAAACTCAACTTTGCTAGGTGCAACGGGTCGGGCGCTTGCCTTCTGACCCAAAAGCTTAAGTTGTTCGGCAGTACTATCTACCCGCCCATATATACCCAATCTCTTTCAGATCTGGATCCAATGTGAGACAAGACCCCTCTAACATTCTCCCCCATCCGAACTCGCAACACCCTCGTTGCGGGCAGACCACCCGGCTTGGACTTGAGCACCTCCCGGGTGGGCACGCCCAGGCGGGCACTTGGCACAACACCGGATCATAAACTGGGTCAGGCACTTGCCTTCTGACCCAAAAGCTTAAATTGTTGGGTAGTGCTGCATACCCGTCCATATATATCCATCTCTTTCCCCATCCGGATCCGAAGTGGGACAAGACCCCTCTAACACTGGGCTTCTGCAGGCGTAATAAGTATGACTATTCTTTAGGCCTAACTCAAGATGGAATGATAAATCATATTCTTAAAAAAAATATATAACTCGAGATGGAATGATAAATAAAAATATGATTTATGATGTGTCCAGTGATCTTCAAACATTAAATGAAAGCACTTAAAAACTTTAATAACAAAGTCATTCAGTATCCCACCCATTTTAATATTAATTCACATCAAATTTAACATTAGCATATTTGACTCCTTTGAGGAGCAATACATGAGCCCAAATGGTTCACAATATAATATTTATCACTGATATAAGAAATTTCCAACCACCTGTAGTAGTTCTTATCCTCTTCTTTTGGAGTTCTTACAAAAATAAAAGGAAAAGAAAGAAAGTAGTCTTCCATGAATTACTTACTCTTGTTGGAGTACAAAACCATCAAGTTCAGCAGATTTGATACCCAGAAAGTCAACAGGAGTGAAGTTACCATAGCATCAAGAAAAGTGACACACAGAGGAAGCATCGGCAGACACGAAAATATCAGTTACCTTAAAATGTCATGGAAAACCTTGACCATGCCACTTAGGGCCCATGAGAAAGCATTCAAACTGCACCTTCACAATGTCACATTTACTCATGCAAACAGAACGAATTTCGGGTTTCTAGATTTTGAAAATTGTATTGCTGAGATTATCTATCAAAACAAAATGTATTGCTTTCTGGAAAACCTTTTTATGGTATTGTCCGTCAAGGGAGAACTGAAAACGTTTCCTGGATAGAAAGGGAGTTATTTAGAACATTTGTTTAGTGTGTTGGCAAATCTTTTCACAAATAGAGTTTGTAACTTTGAAAAAAATAAGTCTATTAGTCGTGTTGAGTCCAGATTGAATCTAAGGCTTGATCAACTTACTTGGAAGTTACATGATTGAGTGAAGATGAAAGTGCTTCAAGTTTAGTTAGACCTTAACTGAGTTGGGGTTCAGGCAGTTGAATCATTAGATAGAAATGGACTACCTTGAGTCATTATATAGGCAGCCGTACTCCTACAAAGACCATGAGTCCAAAGTTGCACTAGAAAATTTAAACTACTAAAAACTATTTAACCAATTAAACCTACTAAAGGCCATACATAACTACATATACAACCACAAAAACCCATCTCTTAACAAACTAGAACCGTGCATCTCTACCGTAGCTCATTCTAGAAGATCTAAATGCATCAAAAACCGACTAAATCCTAAAACATACTTAAATACCTCAACGTTTGAAATATATGTAACATATATGTAAAGCAATCAAAATATTTTAACTTAGGGGACCTTTTACTTATTTCTTTTCATGTGGGAGTTGGAATTGTTCCTGTTTATCTACTTCTATCCGTGTGTGTGTGGGTGGAGGCGAGTTTAGGGAAACATAGTTCTTGTAGCAACTTAAAGAAAACGCGATAAAGATCTCCATTTCACTCGATATTTTTTTTTTTTTTGATAAGTAAAAAATATATTAGAAAAGCGTTCAAAAGGGGAACGCATCCCTAATACACAAAAACGAAAGACCTAGGACCGACAGAGTCCAATAGATCAAAAAAATCATCAATCGAGGAGCAAGCGCTGCCTCTTACATAACAGAAAAGAGAACGAAGAATATGAGATTTTAAGTTTGCAAGAGACGATTCCTTTCCTTCAAAATTTCTATTATTTCTCTCTCTCCAAATACACCACCAAACACAGTGTGGGACGATCCTCCAAAAATCACAAGCATGACCAGTAACAGGGCATCTTCTCCAAGCGTTAATTAATTGAATAGAGTGCTTAGACATTACCCACTGAACGCCAAACATACTGAATATGAGATTCCAACAATCAGACGCGACAAAACAATACAAAAGAATGTGGTCCACAGACTCTCCGTCTGTTTTACATAGGCAACACCAGTTAACAATGGTATTGCCTCTCTTACGCAGATTATTCAATGTCAGAATCTTTCCCCAGGTAGCAGTCCAAACAGAGAATGCGACTCTAAGAGGAGCTTTAGAGCGCCAAATAGACTTTCATGGGAAATCATGACCAGCAAAATTAGACAAACACAAGAACATGGATCGTATTCCATATCTACCATGAGTGGAGGGGATCCACAATATGTCATCACTACCCTCTATCAACATCCTTCTGTCTATACAACAAGTCCAAAAAAACGCATGCTTCTGCCATCTCCCAATCCTGAAAACAACACCTAAAACGCACATCCCATGTAACCCCACTGCTATCAAGATGATAACAATCAACTATGTAAGCATGCTTATTCTCAGCAATGCTGAAGAGACGAGGAAAGGAAAGAGACAACACTTGATCACCACATCATAAGTCTTCCTAAAATCGAACATACGTACCACTACGAACCTTGAATCTAATATGGGTGGAAAACACATCCCAACCCTTCCGAATGAATTTCCAAACACCAACACCTCCGATAACAAAAACAGGACGAGAGGACCAGCCCCCACTCTCCTCCCCAAAACGACAAGATATAACTCTTCTCCACTGTCGATAACGCTCTTTACCGAACCTCCTAAACCACTTCCCCAATAAGGCTCTATTGAAAAGGACTAGCTTCCGAATGTTTAAGCCGCTTAATTTCAAAGGTTTGCAAACTTGCTCCCAATTAACAAGATGATACTTGAACTCCTCTCCTCTTCCGCCCCAAAGAAAGTCTCTCTGAATTTTTTCAATCCGTTCAGCAACAGAGCACGGGATTTGAAACAAAGATAAGAAATAGGTGGGAAGGGACAAGAGGGTGCTCTTAATAAGAGTGACCTTTCCCCCCTTCGAGAGATACTGTTTTTTCCATCCTGCCAATCTTTTTTCATGCCTGTTAATCACCAGATCCCAACTCCCCACTCTCCTGGAGGATACTCCGAAAGGTAATCCCAGATAAGGAAGTGGAAAAGCACCTACTCCACACCCAAGAACTGCGAACATCCCCCACTGGGACAAGCACACTCTTTCCAACATTGATTTTAAGTCCGAACACCACTTAGAAGCAAGCAAGAATGCACCTCAAGTATCTGAGTTGGGAAACATCAGCATCACAAAAAACCAAGGTATCAACCGTAAACAACAAATGGGATATCTCGATCTAATGAGCAACATCTCTATCGACTATGAACCCCCTTATGTAACCCAGATCCTCCTCTCTTTATATTAATATGCTCAATCCCTCAGGAATAAAAAAGACGATAAGGGATCTCCTTGTCTCAAACCACGCGAACTCGAAAAAAAACCATCAGGAGATCCATTCACAAGCACAGAGAACATGACGGACGAAATGCAAGATTCAATCCATTTTATCCATCTATCCCCGAACCCCATCCTCCGAAGCAAGTAAAGAAGAAACTTCCAATTAACGTGATCATAGGCTTTCTCGATGTCAAGTTTGCATAAGACACCAGGAACTCCACTCTTCAACCTAGAGTCAACACATTCCCCTGCGATAAGAACGGAATCCAATATCTACCTTCCACCAACAAAAGTATTTTGTGACTCTGAAATAATACCATCCAAAACATTTTGCATCCTAAAAACAAGGACCTTAGCAATAAGCTTATACATACATCCCACAAAACTGATTGGCTAAAAGTCCTTAATGTCAGAGGCATCGCCCTTCTTAGGAATAAGAGCAATGAAAGATGCATTCAATGATTTCTCAAATGTGCCATGAGAATGAAAATCCTGAAAAGTGCCCATCACCTCTTTGCGCACCACCTCCAAACTCTCCTTAAGAAACCGCAAAGTGAATCCTTGGCCCTGGAGCTTTATCACAATTACAACTGGATAACGCCTTAAGAACTTCCTCTTCAGAGAAAGGAACCTCAAGCCTATCACTATCCAGTGTAGAAATAGCATCGAATTGCAAAACATCAAGTTTAGGTCTCCATCCCAAAGTCTCGGTATAGACCTACTGATAAAAAGAAACAATTCCCTCACGCACCTCATCTTCTCTCCACAATTCTGAACCATTCACACGGATACGCCAAATGTGATTACATCTTCTACGAGCGTTAGCAAGCCTGTGAAAGAATTTTGTATTGCGGTCACCTTCTTTTAGCCACAAAGCCCGAGATTTCTGACGCTACGAAATCTCCTCCATAACAACAATCTCAGCAAAAATCGCCTGACAAGACGCTCTTCTAGAGTGTAAAGACTCCGTATCCCGCCCCAGCTCATCAACACGATCAAGTTCAGCAATATCAACCAGAACTCTATTCTTTATCCATTGAAGATTCCCAAACACCTCTTTATTCCACTTCTTAAGCTCAGATTTGAGAATCTGAAGCTTCTTAGCAAGCACATAGCTAGCAGAGCCTGTAAACGTTGCCTCCCAACACCAAGACTGGACTTTCCCTTGGAAGTCCTCAGATCTCAACCACATATTTTCGAAGCAAAATGGTGTGCGTCTAGATCTCATACCTCAGGGCACATGATCAGACGTTACCTTAACCAAAGTTGCCTGGGTAACATCCGGGAACTTCTCTTCCCAATCCCCAGAAATCAGGAATCTATCCAGCCTTGAAAGAGTAACTAGATCTCTGCCACTAAACCGAGTAAAAGTTGCCCCTTCCATTGGCAGATCAATAAGAAAGTGACCATCAATAAAGTCAGAGAACTGGGTCATCTTCGAGGACCGCCTAACCCTTGTGGATCTCTCGAATGGAGACCTAACAGAATTAAAGTCCCCGCCTACGCACCAAGGCAACAACCACAATTCCTTAACGTGGTTGAGCTCTTCCCAAAAGACAAGTCTACCACAATCAATAACGGGTCCATAAACTCCAGAAAATACCCAACTGAAATTATCATCTTCCATCTGAAATACGCATGACAAAGAAAAGAGCCCTTTCCAGAAGTTCGTTCTAGACAAACATCTTCGATCCCACATAATTAGAATTCCGCCCGATGTGCCCGATGCGTTTAACGCTTCCCATTCCACAAACCTTCCTCCACAAAGACTCCTAACCACTTCATCAATAATAGAAGCCATCTTGGTTTCTTGCAAACATATAACATGGGCATTTCACTTCCTCACAACAACCTTAACCACCCTTCTTTTGTCCGGATCATTTAAACCATGGACGTTCCATGTAATAATTCGTAACTTCATTGAGAACCAAAAATGATCAATTCCCCTCCTCCCCGTTTCCCACTTCTGGTCCTTCCCCTTTCTTTAGTCACCCCATCCTTCCCCTTGTAGTTGACATAGGAAATAAGGTTCTTAACCTCCTGTTCTCCTTTCCGATGTGAAAAATGTTTTCTATTTTTAACAACTTTTGTGCTTTTATAGGTCTCTGTATTGTCGTTTCCTGCCACAATATCATGAAGAATGGATTGGGTTCGGTCGTCATCACCCTCCGAAGAGACGCCCAGAGCTTCACTAACCTCGCTAATATTTTCAAACACCCAGTCCATACCCAAATCATTAGCCGTCTCTAAGTAATCAGGGTGCACAGCTGCCAAGGGTTCCATTATGTTCACATCAAATTGATCTATATCCCAGGAGAAACAATCATGAGGACAGACCTGTTGAGAAGAAAACTGATCTTCATACTCCTCCCCCTCACTCTCTACACCATTCCGGTACATATTTAACTACATATCCATCTCAGTTCCAGGATCATCGGTAACATTCGTCATCAATTCGTGAGGATGAATCGCCTCAATCACGGAGGGTAGACCATTTAAGCCTTTGAGAGCAACAAAGAGGTTAAGCTCGTCGAGCAAAGTCACAGCTAAGTCATCTGCAACTTGAAATGAAGGTCCCATCCTACACATACTATCACCCCATTGGAGCAACCTACACTTCCGGATGTGTTCTTTGAAGACAAGGACCCGTCACTCGATATTTAACTATCCAAGGACCTAAGTATGCCATGCCTCAACGTACATCTTACAAATCAAGGTTCAGGCCTTGGATGTACCCTTACCGTACCTTTTATACGCTTTTTAAATGCTGCCATTTATCCCACCAGGACATCACTAACGGTATAATATTGCGAAAATTTTTTATTAGCCCACTTTTGCTTCTATTCCACTAGTGGAATTCCAGTGGGAGGTTAAATTTAATCTCCCTTGCCAACAAAAGCAAGATCTGGAGGTTTTGATGCATATTTACATTTTACATCAAGGATAAGTTTTGTCAAAATAGGGTCATTAAATTTAGTTGAGAAACGGGATGCAGCACTAACAACTAAAACTGGAAAAAGGACACCATTGAACCATGGTGCTGGTAGCTTGAGTAGTTAACATGAATGCTGGTTTGAATAGATGCAAGTTCTCCCAATATCTACTTGGGAATATACAAATATTCAACACATATAACCTTCTCCTGTCATATCTTGCTCATATGCATCCTATATTTAGTTATATAAGTTTGAAGGGTACAGATTTTTAAACACCAATTTCCAAATTGTTCCACAGAAAGCTATTGAAAACAATAATGGATTGAATGCTAGAATAGTGTCATTAATAGTTCTTTTTTAAGCTAAAGATGTATTAACCTGAGGAAGTGCTTTGACACAACTCCGATATGTATAGAGCACTGATCCCATTTCCTTCCCCTCTTGGATAAGGGTGTTCTGCACATGTTCCAGCATAGCCGTTACGGGGGGGAGGGGGGGGGGGGGAGGAAGTTATTAATAAGTAAAATCAAAGGCAAAGTAAAAATTTTAAGGAAACAAAAAAAGATCTTTGAATGGAGACAATCACATCTGCTCCTTGCCACTAAACAATCTAAGCAGAAATAGAGCACTCATGAAAATTGGTCCAGTAATTTAGAGAGCAACAAAGAAAAAAAGATAGAAAGAAGAGCTGCATACCAGCTGATTGAGAGCTTTTGTGTCTTCTGATAAAGATAGGCGGTATGCAGAAACATCACTGTACTCTACAAAAGGAATGCATCTATTATAGACCTTAAAAAATTATGGTCTCAACAGAGAGAGAGCCCAAAAGTGTCTTCTATACTTCGAGAGAGAGAGACTCACATGGTGCTACAAACTGGGAAGCATGTTAATAGACTTATAGATTACAAAGAATAAAGAAAGAAGTATAATACAAAGAAATTAATAATTACTTAAACTCCTATTAAATTAATTTTTATATTTTTTTTTGTAAAGTAAGTCAAATATATAAAAACCACTCAAAAGGGGAGCGGATTCCAAACAAACAAAAAGGCCAAACAAAAAACAACTCAAGCCTTCAAAGAGGCTAAAAAAAGAACAATCTCCTCAATAGATCTATAATCTCTCCCCGAAACCCAAAAAAAAGAGTAGAAATAATGGAGAACTTAAGCATAGCAATAGGCTTTCTCCTTTCCGTCAAAATATCTTCTATTTTTCTCAAGCCAAATGCACCACCAAATACAGAGCGGCGTAGCCCTCCAAGCATCCCGAATGAGACCCCAGCTAAGAAACCTCTCCAAGCCTCAATCAATCCTCTAGAGACAAGGCATAACCCAAGGAACCCCAAACAAACCAAGCATCAAATCCCAACAAGCTCTAGCCATGTTGCAATGTAACAAAAGGTGATCAACTGTCTCCTCATCGCAAAGGCACAAGTAACAACGATTGACCACCACCTGATTCCTCCTCCTCAAATTATCCTGGGTTAAAATCCTACCCAAGACAGAAGTCCAAGCAAAGAAGGCCACCTTAAGGGGAGCCTTTGAGCGCCAAATAGATCCAAGGGAAAGGACCACCATCACCAACCGTAAGGCACCTAAAAAAGGACCTCACCTCAAACCGACCCTGAGGATTAGGATTCCAAAGCCAACAATCAGACTCCCCATGAGAAATCACCTGACGATACAGTAACTCCAAAAAATGAGTGACCTCCTCAATCTCCCAATCTTGAAAGTGCCTCCTAAACTGAACATCCCAAGACAGTCTTCCGTTATCAAGATGATAACAGTCAACCACTAAGGCCTACCTAACAGAAGCAATCCTAAAGAGCCGTGGGAAAGAAAGAGCCAGGGGAATCTCCCCACACCAAGTATCCTCCCAAAATTTGATCTTCCTACCATCCCTAATCCGAAAACGAATATGTTTGCAAAAATCATCCCACCCGTTCCGAATGACAGTCCAGACTCCCACTCCCCTAGGACCACGCACCTCAAGAGAGCTCCACCCACAACTTGCAAAACAAAAGAAAAACAAAATAAGTATCCCTATGACTAATATGTCTGTTAATTTGATGGCCAAACAACATTCAAGTACGTAAAATAGGAACTGAATTGTTCCATAGACTCTCTTCCCTTGATTAACTTTCCTTTCTACAAAGACACACCCTATGCTGAATAGGGTTGCCATCTGAAAATCAAAACCTTTATAAATGACTGGTATTCAGCCAAGAAATGAAACTTCAGCATTTATTACCATATAATATGAAACACCGTAATTAGACTGTTTGTGTTTCATTCTCCAAATTGGTTCAAGATACAACTTGAATGGATCCTAAAATTTGTGTTGCTTAGAAAAATTCTTACGCTTTTAGGGGTGTGCATAATTAACAATGATGGTACAAGTGTCATGCTTCTAACAGAACAAAATAAAAAACTACAAGGCCATCATAAAGCAAGCGATATTTTGTTCATATCCAAAGGAGATAGTCCAGTTAACTGCAAATAGGTAGAGGATACTTGGTACAAAATAAATACAACAGTCTTCTAAATAAAAATTAATGAAGCATACCCTTAATTCTCCACCATTGATGGAAAACGAAAAAAAAAAAAAAACCAAACTCAATTAAATTTGACCACAATAAATATATTTAAAAACGTACCAATTGGACTATTTGTTGCACCTCTCTCAGTTGATACCCAGACTGCTGGCCCTTGGACCTCTGGTTGGTCATCCTACAGGGGATATTAAGTTCAAAATATAAATAAAGAAATCAAACTTTCAAAATAAAGTTACAACAAAATGGATAAACCAGCTCCTCCTAAATCTAAAAAATCTTTTCCTGAATTCTGCTAATTCTTGACCAACAGTTTCAATGAAGTTCACGCTTTCTGAGTGGGAAGATCAACCTATAAACACATTCCTCCTCTTTCTTAGTTAATAAAAACTATTGTTTCAACTTTCAACACCCATTTTGCTTGTGTATATGGAGTGTGTGGGGGTTGGTCGGAGATGGAAATTCATATATAATGTTTCGTTAGTTCTAGGTCATTGGTTCAATTCGTGTCTGACCTTCCTTTAAGAGATCACTCTGCACATGGTACCTCTAATTCTTTTTTTTCTCGGCACGTCTATCTCTCTCATTAAACGCATCTACCACGAGAAATCCAATGAATTAAGATCCCTCCTCATAAAGATCGAATGAAAAAGAAGGGGGGTCATTTGTTTGCACGTGACTAAGATTCAACTGATGAGGTGATCGTCTCACACGTACGCCAAAAAAAAAACGGATGAGTGAAGAACTAGTTTCAAAAGGATTTTGAACTGTGGTAGGATTTAGTCCTTGTACAAGAAGAGCGGCTTATATATACATTATATACATACTCCATTCATACAGACTAAGATTAGTTCTCAGAAGTTCCAGCGACTTCTGAAAATTTGTTATGTTGAATCCTAACCGAGGACAACCCTTAAGAGATTTTCTGTCTCTTTAATTCTATCTTCAGGCCCTAATTTATTGTTTCGTCACAATGAGCCCCTAAGTTTTTCATGTCTGGCCTTTTCTTACACCATTTTTTTTTTTTTCGAAAGTTCAAGCAAACACAAACACCCACTATATATTTTGCCTCCACCAGGGCTCAAACACTCAACCTCCTCTTTGGGGGAGGAGAGCTTATACCATCTAGGTTAGAGCCCATCGGTTCTTTTTCCAAACATACAACATTGTGAAATAGTTGCGATCTAAGAATTTCGTTGCTTTCCATAAGCAGCAATTTTACACAACCAAATCCAAACCTATATAAACAACTTTCCATCTATAAAACATTATACCTATTCTTAAACTTTTTGAACCTTAATCCTACAAGTTCTCCACAACCTTAGCTCAACATATAAAAATCTGGAGGCAACACTATAAGTAGGAATTGTTTGTAATGAAAAAATGATCAACAAACAACACAACACTAACTGAGTACTTTGGATTTGAATATACATAGACAAGACAATTCTTCTCACCAATTTTGGACAATCCAAAGATATTTGGACAATTCATATTAAACATGCACATTGGCACCAAACTATTAGCTTTATTTGTAAGAGAAATAATGTCATTGAACAAAACTAGAAGACCTTTTTACATTAAACCACTATCTAAAATAATCAAACACTCACTAAAATACCCAAGAACAGCATTAACCCAATTTTAATTCCTATAAAAAATTCATAATGCTTCCATTATCTAAAACAAAGTATATATTACTTTTTAATCTACTGAACCAGTTCTTTAAATCGGCTAAGAACATACACCAGATTATCACATACATATATATAAATACGTACATTGTATGTAAATAGTGATATATATGTGAGTGTGTGTTTAAGTAGATCTTGATTTACCTCCAATGAGAATGTGGAAAGAGCTGCAATAGCTTCTTCAACTGGAACGGCCATGAAATGGTTCGATTTTCTCCGGATTCAATCTGTCGAGAAGAGAATCTGTAAGCTAATTTGCTGACAGTTTGAGTCCTATATTAAACGATTTGAGAGCATACATTACCCTAATTGCTACGGTGGGTTGGTTCGAGAAAAGGGGAGAGAAGGATCGCACGTCTGTCTTCGAGAGTTTAACTCAGTCTAGTTATTGCCATTTCTTTAAGATGTCTTTACCAGAGCGATTGAATTACTGAATTGGACATGGAATTGTATTCAAATTACTCAAACGCCATTATTAAATATTTAGAGATTTTAGAGTTTTTTTTTTTTTTTTCCACATAGGTCAAAGAGTTTTTACCCCACTGTCTCTCCCCCTCAATTTTCCGAATTCATGATTAAAAATGTGAAATATTTCCCCAAAAAAATAAATAAAGAAATAGAAATGATTAATATTCCAAATTCTTAAAAAGGCATCACAGGCTTCCAACTTGCCAATCCTGTCTTTTGTTGGGCATTCAAATTTTGACGTCGGTATCACATTTGACATCCAAATTTCAAATTTTATTATTTTGCATTTGAACTTCGACAACGTTGTAATTACATTTGGCATTTAAACTTGAACGCCTCAATTATAAAAAGTGATTATAGTTTTTTTTTTTTTTTCTTAAAGCACGTGTATCGACTTCACAACACGTGCACCAATCAAATCAAGAGTCTGATTCGAAATCAAAACCTCAAAAATTTATCTTTTTAATCCCTGTCAATACCGCTATGCACCTGAAAACATAAAACAAAAAAAAGAATCATTTTTAATTGTTTGCTTTAAAAGTAACATGGGAATTTAAACATAATAAGTGTGTGGTTATATTTTAAAAAATGGGAGGAATCAAGAGACAACACTGGTGTCCATAACTTTTATAAGTGATGAATTCATGTTCTGCAATTTGCACCTATTTTACCAAAGTAAAACAATATTTTTTCTTCTTTTTGATCCCCGCTACAAGATTAATGATTCGTCTTCTTTCTTTTCTTTTATTTATTTTTTTTTTTTTGAAAGATCAAGCATATAGACACTTACAATGTTACTCCTAATAACCTCGAATACTCTATTTAAAATTTTATGTAAATTTTTATGCTGATCTCAATTCAAGTGAATCATAATAGTGAATCTAACCGTGTTTTGCAGCGAAAATTTTCACGTATAATAGAAAAATATAAATAATAATATATCAATTTTATTCATACACAATAATTTAAACAATGAGCAATAACACCATTGAAAAAATGAAATAACAATACTTACATTATAATGAATAATACATCAATGTGGATATAATAATATTAGAGACAAAATTTATGATGAAGTAGAACACAACTTTAGGACAAATTTATAACATAAATCATACTAATAATAAATTAAGATAGCAAAAAGACAATATCAAAATAAGTAAGAAATGGTTAACCTAATTGTAGAGACACGTGTAAACACATTGATTGATATTCCTATCCCTCTTGCGAGTATTGACGAAATTAGTCAATTTCAAGATACAACCCAATTAAGTCGCAGCGACTTCTCCTCCATGCAAAAGAGAAACTAAATCTAAGTCTATATGTGTCTCATTATCTATAAACTCAATATTTAAATTACTCTCAAATACACGTATGAATGAGTAAAATAGAAAGATAAAATCATTTCTCAAGAGTCCCGCTCCTACTAATATATATATATATATATATATATATATATATATATATATATAAATAAAAATATTATTTAGTGTAGTTTATTAATATTTTTTAATCCATTTTTATTACTATCATTTAGTAACTATTATAAAATATTAGCATGCACCTAATCCAACAAACCGAACCTAATTTGACCAATCTAAATTATACAGGTCTAATCCGAATTGAGTTGGACAATCGTCCCCTCGACATTCAACGTTGTATGCACCCCATCACTCACTTTTTTCAAATTAAGGTCCTGGGTCAAGAGGATGGGACTTCAAGTCCCAATCTCCATGTCAGTAAGTTTTGACTTCAGGTAACAATAACAATTACTCCAAATTTTTTTATTTTCTCATTTCTATATTGACATTCATGTTCAAAATTAAATAAGATAAACAACTATGTTCACAAATTTTTTTTTTTTTTTTTGAAAAAAGGAGAAGGAGGATATCATAAAATGTGATGATACAACTTTGATTATTTGAGATATGATCTTCCCTGCTTTCTTTATATATATATATATATATATAATTGATTAATTTATTTATTTTTTCGGACGTTGAAAAGAAATTCACGCACCCACTTTACTTTTACAGAGATTTGAATTTTTAATCTTTTATTTTGAAAGGTGAAAAAGCGCCACTAAACTTAAGTGGTAGTTCGGTATTACTTAGATTAGCATAACTTTGGAATAAAAATTAGAGTTTGTAATTTTATTTCTATTTTTAGTTTAGTTAGAATGCTAAAGTCTATATTATTTTTGTAAAACCAAAAGTCTCACATTATTTTGCTTCTTATTAGTGCATAGCCTAAGACAAATGCCTGGTTGATTGTTTTTAACCATAATGATGGCGAATTGAATATTTTTACTTTAATAAAAAGAAAGTAGTATACATTTCCTTCTTTTGCTTAAAGATCAATCTTGTTTGAGATACCTTTCACCTGAAGAAAATGTCCACAAGCACTTGATCACCATGCCTTGTACCTGAAAACTGCTATTTTATAATCTAAGAAGTACCTATAATTCGTAATGCATGTTATGTGCTCGTTTATACATCTGTTTTCATTTTATCAAAAATTTTGTCCTTAATAATTTAGACTCTATTTATTTGGATGTAAAATATTTTTTTAATTTTTTTGTGTTTGGTTGTCGTAAAATATTTACGAAGAAAAAATTTATTAAAATTTAACAAAAATAATTTATTCATAAATTTTGAACAAGTTATTTTACATGCCCCTAAACTCGATCTCAATCTCAACGTAAATCTTTACTAAACACCGACAAAGTAAAAATAAAAAAATATTTTATCTGAAAAATAAAAATATTTTCTAAAAATAATATTTTACATCAAGCAAACGGATAGTTTGAACTAAGTTTCATCTCATTTTTATTTTAGGATGCTAGTGCTCCCAAACGTGGTACGTGCAACAAAGAGGCGGGAGTTGAAAATTATTAATTGAATAAAAAAATAGTTAAGGTAATTGGCTTGGATTTACCTTAATCCCGTCTTCAAACTTTTTAACTCTAATGGCAAAAATGTAAGACGATAGAGAAAATATAATATTAATATTTATATTCTCTAAAAATTAAAGTTGTTTTGAGAGTTATAGAGAAGTTGAACTTGCTATAAACCATTTTAAAATGTTTCGATTTTTTTTTTCTCAAGAAAATAAAATATTTTGAGTTGTTAATAATTATTTTCTCAAAACATGACATATAATTAAAGCCTATGTATAAGCAAATAAATTTATTTATGTATCAATAAAAAAAGTTCACAATTTGAGATTATAAACCATATTATTTTTCTTTTTGAAAAAAGTATTATTAAATTTCTTTCACTGCATGCTATGTGTAATCTGGTATGGATTAATTTATTAGATGAATTTGACTAATATATTATATTTTAGAGGATTGATGGGCATAAGAAATGACACAATTGTGACGTAGTTTAATAATGTCATTTAAATTGATTCAATACTGACATGGAAGATGTATAGCAAACAAACAGATGAATTTCAAATTCTTGACCATTTTCCATTGAGTTGCGCGCACATATTTTCTTATTCATATTGAATTCAAATTAGAACATGATTAAATTATTATTTTATTAAAGTTAGAACATGATTAAATTATTATTTTATTTAATAAGCTCATAATTTCTCTATAATAGTTGTACGCACCTCACTATACCAGAAAGTGCTAAATCCTAATTTTTATACTACTTCCTATGTGAAGTTTGGTAGGGGAATCTGAATATCCTAGGAAGATTGTTACGAAAATCTGAATTTTGTTATTTGATATAACGCAGCATATTAAATTGATTCAACTGCTCGATTAAAAAAACCCTAACTCCTTGATCTCTCTTGAATTCCCCCTCTTACACTGCTTTAAAAATATAATCATTATGAGTTTATAACCTCTCCCAGTATATATTCTCTTTTCTCTCTTTATATAAGAAAAAAGTTTAAGTGATGTGAGAAGGTTGTCTTTGCTAGGTCTTTATTTATAGGATAAAGGCTCGGCAGCCAACAAAGACAAGATTTTAGAACTGGGTTCTTAAACGATATCTAACATGTTTATAAACAACTAAAGAAATCTAGAGTATTTTGCACCAACCTAAATATTTTCACTTAATTCCATACAAGTGTAGATAATTTTAGAATCCCTTAACTTAGAAATGATACATATCATTTTATAGGTACGTCCTATTGTGCTTAATCTTTCAAGGTGGTGTTATGAAACTCGTAAAAGATTAATGTTACAATTATTATAATAATGGTATTTATAGTTTCAAGCATAGATCATTATATTGTGGTCACAAGAACATGAAAACCGTCATTAAATTTTTTTCTGGTATTTATAGTTTCAAGCATAGATCATTATAATGTGGTCACAATAACATGAAAACTGTCATTAATTTTTTTTCTTTTATCTTTCTTTTTATTTCTTTAAAAAAATATGGTTTTTTAAATTATGCTTTGTTCCCACCATAGTGACAACAAACCTAACAACTAAACTATAATTACCATTTACATTTTTTTTGGTTGGGTACATTCAATAAATTTGTTCGTAATACTGACAATTAATATCGAGCTGATGATGTAGTTGGCTTCTTCCAAAATATGATCTAAACCTTAAATATCTTCTACAACATCCAACAATTCGAAAAAACAAAAATTTTAAGTTATGTATAGCTAAATTCTTGAATGAATGTTAATGGAAATTTTTAGTAAATTGTGAACTAGTGTTTGAGTGGTATTTTTTTAGAGAAAAAAAATAAAGTAAAAGAAGGTTTACTATAAAATGTTATAAATTAAAAGTGATTAAATATAGTTTACCCATATAAATATACATTCAAACTCTTGCAAATAAAGTAAAATACAATAAAAAAATTTGTACTTCAAAAGAAATTGATGTAAAAACTTCACTTCTCCGTAATTATAATACAATATAAAAATCAAACAAACAATACTTAGATCAATTTCACCAGTGAAAATGTACACCAATCTCATTGTTGATATGGATCAATAAAAAATAAATACGTTTTATTTAATTATTAAATTAAATATGACAACAGTTATTTATAAAAAAAATTGATAAATATATATTATTTTTTATTTATATATATATATATACATATATATTATTAATTTACAGAAGACGGTATATATTGTACCAAAGTATCATCCAAATAAAAAAATATGTGGAATTTCAATTAATGTGTTGCGAATTCTTTCGTAGTCTATCTATTGAATTTCTCCCTCAATTTCACGCAACTCACGACACCAGATTTAAAAAAAAACAAAAAAACAAAAAAAACACAACTCACGAGGGCTAGATTACAAAAAAAGAGGTGGAAAGGAGACACAGGGGAACGAAAGTCAATGACGAGGTGGAATAGAAAATTAATAATTAATGTGGACAGTCAACTTCTTGTGATATTTGAACCCACGGTGGTTGTAGCTGCATAAGTCAAAAAGTCCCGTCACAAGTTCACATGTATGGCAAGGGTTGGAGTATTATTAATATGCCATGGTACGGAAAGTTGAAGCATGTTTTTTTTATTCATTGCAATTCTCTTCACTTTTAACTGTAAAAGCAGTAACCAAAGATTATTCACGTTACTGTAAAAGCAGTAACCAAAGATTATTCACCTATCGGGTGCAATTCGGATTAGGCAATCCGAATTAAATTTCAGTTTTTTTTTGTTTTTTTTTTTTTGTGAGTTTGAATAATTATTTTTATAAATAAAATTAAATTTAAATTAAAAAATCTCAACTCAAATTTAATTAGAGTTAGAGTTTTGATAAAGATATTACTAACCCGAGCAAATCCAAATCCAAATTTTAATATATATATATATATATATATATATATATATACTTAATTTTAAATACATTATATATAATATTTAAATATTATTATTATTTTTTTTCAACTTCATTTGTTAAATCTTAATATGTTAACATATAAGATAATTAATTTTTTAAGAATTTATTTGTAATTTATTCAAAATTTATAAAATGCCTTTAATTTTTTTATTTTTTTTACAAGTAATTTTATCTAAAACTAATTAACCAACGGACTAGTAGCGATATCAGGTCCTTATTTTCTAAAGGAAGATTAGGAGTTCGAGCCTAGCTCAATGGAGTATCAATTAAGGAAAAAAAAATTCTAAAATTAATTTAAGATCATATTATTTTTTTATTTTTTAAGATTAGCTATATGAGTAACTTAAATTCACCCCAAACTTTAACATAGAATTTAAGCCCAAGTGAGGTTGAGTTGGGTTTGGATTTAGCATTTCATATAATGGGTTGGCCGGGCTCAAGTAATACCTCAAACCCGACTAAGTTACAGCCCTACATATTTCCCTACAAAAAATATGTATATTGTATATATATATATCAGTGTTCAATTGCTCCCTGGTGAGCAGAGCAGGATGCAATATGCTCACTTTTACTCGTAGCCTTATGATCTAATTCAACGGCTACTAGGAAGAATAATTATTTTAGGAAATTAACATTCTTTTAATTAGCCATTAATTATAAAATGACTATATTGGATATATTCTTAAAGAAAAAATATATATTTAACCATAAACTGCCATCACCCCACCCCACCGTCACTGTCACCTCTACCCCGCCACCACCTCCCCCACCACACCACCTCCACCTAAGTAGATTTGATGACTACTTTTGACTAATAATTACAAAATTTACAAAATTAATGCCAAATTCACAACTATAATCTAAGTTAATTATTAGTGTATATGGTGGTGGTGGTGGGTGGGAGAGGTGGTCGTGGCAGTGGGGGACAAGGTGAGTGGTGGTGACGGACCGACAGTGGTGGAAAGGGGTATAGTTAAAGTTTAATTAGATGAAAAAATTATTACTATTTTTTTTTTTTTTTAGAATTATCTAATATAGTCATTTTATAGTTAATGACCAATTAAAAGAAATACAATTACCTAAAATAATTATTGTTTCAATTAGACGTTGAATTAGATTATAAGGTTATGAATAAAAATGAGTATACTACTCCCTGTTTACCAGGAAGTAATTGAACACTACTGTATATATATATTGCATAATATATATATATATTCTCTATCATTAATTGTAACATCTTTGTGTGCAATGAGCAAGATATTCAGATATTATAAATTGTGACAGAGCAAAAAAAATTTGTGAAAGGGGCTGTCTTTTAATTTCTGGTTGTAAACTGATGTGGTGGGTCCATTTTTGTAATTTTAATAGAGTTTTCTTCATAAATTTATAAAAATTTAAAGTATAAAACACAAAATAAATAAATAAATAAATTAGTGGGTCGAATTGTAATTTTGGTGGGGTATCTTCATGAATTCTTAAACATTTGAAGTATACAATGGTAAAATTCCCAACTAACCTTTTTTGCAAAAGAAAGTAATGGATCCATGAGTAAGGGTAGCCGTCTAATGTAATTTTCTCACATTTTTTAAGTAGAATATGAAAGGTTCACGTTCTCGTAAGGTGTAACGGGTGGGCGCTTGCCCATTTACCCAAAAGCTTGAACTATTGGGTAGTGCTGTATACCCACCCATTTATACCTAATCACTTTTCCATCCGATTCCGATGTGGGACAAATGACCCTTGTTACATTCTCCCCTACCCAAACTCGCAACTCCTTCGTTGCTATTCGGGCCACCCTGCCTACCCGGGATGCTAACCCGAACGCCTTTCGGGCCGGGTGCTTGGCGTGACACCGAATCAAGGATTGGGTCTGGCTCTGATACCAACTGTAACGGGTGGGTACTTGCCCATTTACCCAAAAGCTCGAACTATTGGGTAGTGCTGTATACCTACCCATTTATACCCAATCACTTTCCCATCCGATTCTGATGCGGGACAAATGACCTTTGTTACATAAGGCCACTAGATGCGTGAATATATTTCTTTTAAAATAAAATAAAAAACACCGGAGCTAATCCATTTAAGTTTACAAGCAGTCATTTGATAATTGATAAATAATATTTATCTATTAAAGGTTATGTTTGTCTACATATTTTTTATTTTGAATCCTTGAGTAGGCAAGACAAACGCTAAAAAATGTCGTTGACTTAGTAATTAGACTTTAAATTAAAGTTTAGATTAATGAGCATGAGAAAAATAATTCAAGTACCAGACCAACCATTTTGAAAAAGTACCATAAAAATTACTGATTAATGGTATTAAATACCCAAAATACCCTTCTATAATAATTGATTTTTACTTTTTTTTTTATACTTCAATAAGGGCAATTTACTAATTACTGATTAATGTTACTAAATACCCATAATACCCTTTTATAATAATTGATTTTTACTTTTTATTTTTATCTTTAGTTTACTTCAATAAGGGCAATTTACTATTTTTATTGCTTCATTAACAGTTGAAGTTTGTAACTCTGAATATAGCTATCAGAAACTCAAAAAACAGATAACAATTTTCAAATAATTATAAAAAATATTGTTTGGTTTGTAACTTTGAAAATAGTTATTAAGAATTTATAAAATAATAAAAGACAGTTTTTTGAGAATAGACCTTTTTATAATTGAATTTTTAAAAAATTGAATCAAAGCAAAGTTTTTTGTATAATTTTTTATTTTCAGTTTTTTAAGAAAAGAAAATTGTTATCAGAATTATAAACGAAGCAAGTTCATATTATCTTAAAACATGTTGTAGCGAGAGAGAGAGAGAGAGAGAGAGAGAGAGAGAGAGAGAGGATACAGCAGAATATTAACATGGTGTTGGCGCCGTGAATTAAGGAATCCAAAAGGTTTGACAACAAACCCAAAAAATAAATAAAAATAAAAAAGTTGTCCCTTGCAGACTCCAGACCAGTACACACTCTCTCACTCTCACTCATTCCCCATCTAAAAAACACACACTGTCCTTTTGCCTTTTCAAGTAACAGTACCACCTCTCTCTCTCTCTCTCCCCCCTCCATATAGTCCACACCTTCTCACCCTTTCTCCTCTCATCCCTTTTCCACACCCATCATCTTCTATTATATATATATATATATATATATACATATATATAGTTTCACAGTATTTCAGTTAATGGAGGTAAGTTGTTACTGTGAGAAGTTTGTTTGATTTTGTTTTTAAGCAATGGGTGATAATGATTTGATGGGATTTGTTTTGTGATTTTGTTTGTTTTTTTAGGAGTATTGTGGTAAGAGGAGTGGGCAAATTCCGGCGTTTGGGAACTGGGATTACACCAACGATCTGCCAATCACTCAGTACTTCGAGTGCGCGAGGCAGGCGGGTTTGATACGCTACAGCTCGTCCTCCGGTGAATGTGATCTGTATGTGGCTGATGCTGATCCCTACGCCGTTGATTCTAAGAAGCATCCTCTCCGGCCTTCTGTTGTTCCTCCTCGAAAGGTTTGTTTCTAGGGTTTGTGTTTTTCCACATTTTTGTTCGTATTTGGTTGGGGGGAGGGAAAGGAAAGGAAAGGAAATGAAAGGAAAGAGTGGGTGGATGGGGACAGTTTTGTTATTTGGTAGGTGGTAGTTAGTTAGAGGGAAGAAATGGGACGATCTGAGTTGAAAATCTTGTCATTACTAGATATATACTACGTCAGGAATATAGTGGTAAAATTAGTAAGAAATGCTCGGTATGTTCTTTTTATTATTTTCTTTTTTCTTTACTTGAACTTTTCAACCTTTGGAATATACTGGAAGAGTTGAACTTTTTGTTCTATCTTTTTTTTATTATCTTTAACAAACATTTTAATTTTTTATTTTTATTTTAAAGTAGACATGTTTCTTCGAATGGTCTCCTTTCTGGTCTTCCATTAATGTGTTATTTTGTATACATATATTTAGTTGCTATTAAATACTATCAATTCATAAGAAAATTTACCATATATGACATTTTACTATATATATATATATATATATTTATTTTATTTCATTTTTCTAAATAACAAAGCGTTTATATATTTAAAAGATAATTCAATATTTCATTTCCTTAAGTAACAAATCATTTTTATATATTTAAAAAAGAATTATTTATTTTAAAGTGGTGCGATTCGAAATTTCAAGATAAATGTGGTCAAATCGCACCACCAAAAAAGAAAAAAACAAGGTGCGGAACAGAGTGCCACTCGAATCCATGATCAGGAGATTCTATTAAATTATAACATTTTCAACCAAGTGGTTGAATATATTTATGAAATCTTTTAAATTAAAATTTGGGACAATTAAGTGCACGTGGTGCTTGAAAACATTTTTGAAGAACAATTGTAAGTCAAGGCGACGTATTGGGCGATGTTTAAGGGGGTGGCGGGACCGCTAGTCTACAGGCAATACCCAATTTTTTTTCTTCTCCATTATAGAAAAACGTCATTAACGGTCAAATCGTCCCCGTCTACGGGGCGGTCTATACCGGGTTACATGTGTCGGTCTCTTTCTCAATTTCGCCCATTTTGAATTGAATACTGGTCTTTTTTTATTAAAGCAGTCTTCTTCTTCTCCTCCTAAGAAACTCACACACACTTGCTTTGCTTTGTTCATTATTCTTTAAATTTTTATTTACTAATATGCCTTATTAATTTACTCTTTTTTAGTTATATACCCTAAAATATTACTATTGCCCTCATAAAATTACTAAAAAATTTAATTATTTCACTCCTCACCATATTTTAGGGTCCATCCCATAATAGCATTGAGCAACAAGACCCTTGGTAACCATCTTGTGACTCTGCAATTGGTTTTAAAATGAGTTATGATATTTGTTGTAATTAGTTATTTATGCATAATACATGTAAGTGGAGAATCCAATTATTTATTTATGGGATTTGTTATAATGAATAGTCAAACTTATTTTTTTTAATTGATCTATTTATGCATAAATAAAAAAGTATAATTCTCCATTTATATGTAATCAATCAAAAATATTTTATATAACAAATCGGTACAAGTATTATTACCCTTTTAAAATTAGAATGGGTGAGCAGATATGACTAGAGAATGATGATGCGTACATTTATGGAAATTTTAAGTATTGATGGTGTAGTAAAAAATGTTGCAGACGATGGATAGTAATAGTAAAAAAGGTTGCCCGCAGAATAAGGAGGAGCAGATGAGAAGGAAAGTGATCAAGGTATGTGACGTGACGAAAGTGCCAAGAAAACAGGCTTTTTTGTCGCAGAAGCAACAGTTAAAGCAGCAGCAGCAGCTCCCAAAGCACCACCATAATGCCATTCATCATCGCAAGTACATTAGTGGTCAGCAGCAGCAACCTAACCCTACCAAACCAGTCGACGAAGATCTCTACAAGATCCCCCCTGAGCTCCTTCGCACCTCCAATCGAGTGAGTGGGCCCTACCCTTCTCATCCTCTTCTTTAATTCATTTTTCTAGTAATTTGTATACTTTCTATTTTTATATATATTCACAAGTATATATATATTCGTTATTTTGAGAATGATTTTTTTAAAGAATCGTGCAATAGTTGACCAACCATGAGAGATAGGTGTCCCCTCAACATAGGGACCTTAATGGATGTAACACTCGGTCATGTTCTGTCCAGTTGGGTCCATTTTTTTTTTTGCAAGGTGTATTTCAAATTGGGGTTCTTTTTAGAGATTTTTGTTTTGTTCCCTCGACATAGCAGCCCACACTATTCTCTTGATTGTGACAGACAAGTTTCAAGTTTTTTTCTTCTAAATGTTATTTCTTTTATTAAAATTGATATTAAAATTTTAGTTTCCTCTGATCACAAATCCAAAACACCTGTAGATTTCAATGCAACTTAATTTGATACTTGCAACCTTGTCCAAATTCAACTTAGCTTCACATAGGTACAAGGTAAATGAGCTCAACCCATTTTAGTTAAAACTTAGTAAAAAATGTCGTGACTTGACGGGTGTCATAACTCTTTAGGCCACGATGCAAGAAAAGATAAATATTAGAATTTCTTTTTAATTTATAGTTCCCTAGTAAATTCGGGGATGCCCTCGGCGTCGAGTAACATGTATTAGGGTGTATGTCCAACTCGTTCAAATCATGTGCTGGGACAAAGGAAAGAAAATAAATTTTTCGGTGAACGCCCTAGATGATGAGAGTCGTTGAATGCCCTAAATTATCAAAAGTGTTATGTTCTTTGTATTTTGTAATTTAGTGAATTTCAAGGTGGTGACATTGTGTTGATTTTATTTTCGTTCTATATTTTACATGCAGAAGAAGATGCTAGGATTCTTTTCAAGATGCTTGGTGCCTGGTTGTGTGGCTTGAATTGGAAATCAATGGCTCTTTTGACAAGAACATATGTAATTAGATAGATTCATTAGCCTTTGTGTTCAATTCTATTGAAAATGTTTGATGAAGGATGAAACAAGTTATATGGCTACATGTGTGTACGTACCTTTGAGAATATGAAGGAATGCTAATGGCTTTACGTCTGATTTTGATTAATTCCTTGGCTTGGGAGTTGGGACAGTCCCTGAAAAAAAAAAAAAAAAAAAATCACTTGCAGGAACCGAATTGGTAGTATGAAACTAAATTTTTAAAAAATATATGCTTTACTTCTGATTTTTATTAATTCCTTGGCTTGGGAGTTGGGACAGTCTCTGAAAAAAAAAAAAAAAATTCACTTGCAGGAACCGAATTGGTCGTATGAAACTAAATTTTTAAAAAATATAATTTAAAAAAAAAAAAAAATAGATCTAAAAAGTAGGGGAAGGTCCTCTTGAAGGATCTCTCATAGGTATTAATCCTACCCAATCCTAAAAAAAAAAAAAAAAAACGCATTAGTCCCCCCAAATATTAATTCATCTAAACAACCCCAAGAGTTAAGCCACAGTTTTAAAATACAGGCCCAAGCCAAACAAGCCTTAAATCTCTAATATTAGCTCCATTGACAATTCCTAAATTGGCTTTGCAATCAATTTCAAAAATTTATTATTTCCCATTTCAAGTATACTTCTCTCTCTCTCTCTCTCTCATAACACTCTTAATTTCTATCCCTCTTAAAAATCAATCCAGCATAACATGGATATTTGGAAATCGCACTTATTTTAAGGGTTTATGTAGAAATCTCAAATTTGGGCAATACCAATTTTTCTAGAATTTGTGGATTGGAATATAGATCTTACAAACCTTAAATTGTAACATCAACGATGGGAAAGTACCGTATTCACTAGCTAAGTAATTTGTTGATGTGGTGTTTAACGGTGCTATGTAATTTGTTGATGTGGCGTCTTAATACTTATAGGATTAATACATGTACATGTTTGGAGAGGACTTTCCTTTGAGAGAATCCATTCTCAAAAAATTGTTGTGTGTCAGATGGGAAACAATAGAGAAAGTATATTTAGATTTTTTTTAATTTTGTTGTAAACGTGAAGTTAACAAGGATAAGAATCATAAGACCAAAAGAGGCTCAAATTAAATTTGAACCCAAATTGTATCCCTATTAAATTTTAAGCCAAATTGTATCCCTAGTAAATTGTATCCCTAGACCAAAAGAGACCCACTGATTTATAATTCCCTAGTAAATTCGGGGATGTGCATTCTCAACGTCGAGTAACATGTACTAGGGTGTATGTCTAAGTCGTTCAAATCATGTGCTGGGACAAAGGAAAGAAAACAAATTTTCCGGTGAACGCCTTAGATGATGAGAGTCGTTGTATGCATTAAATTATCAAAGGCGTAATGTTCTTTGTATTTTGTAATTTAGTGAATTTCAAGGTAGTAACATTGTGTTGATTTTCTTTCGTTATATATTTTATCTGCAGAAGAAGATGCGAGGGTTCTTTTCAAGATGCTTGGTACCTTGTTGTTTGGCTTGAATTGGAAATTTAACGGCTCTTTTGACAAAAACACGTGTAATTAGATAGATTCATTAGCCTTGTGATCAATTATATTGAAAATGTTGATGAAGGATGAAACAAGTTATTTGGCCACGCTACATGTGTGTGTGCCTTTGAGAAGGGAAGGAATGCTAATGGCTTTACTTCTGATTTTGATTAATTCCTTGGCTTGGGAGTTGGGACAGACCTAGAATTTTTTTTTTCACTTGCAGGAAACGAAATTGGTAGTATGAAACTAAATTAAAATATATATATATATATATATATATATATATATTTTAAACATATCTAAAAAGTAGGGGAACTAGTCATCTCCAAGGAAAGTTCTCTCCAAATATCTATAGGGTATTAATCCTACGATTATCAAGACGTCATATCAAAAATTTATTTGGTTAGTGACTAGAGTAGACCGTTACGGACCTAACCATTTTTCTATCTAACATTCAGATTTAGGGAGCAGTTTCCTTCCTGTAATTAAATTTCTCTCTCAAAACCAATCAGTCCTCTTTGAAAATACAATTCCTTTGCCTCTCTCAAAAAGCCAACAGTTGAAGAAGCAATTTTAGACACCCTACCATACAATCAATCAAGGGTGGATGTAGGGTGGGCTTGAATCCCCCATTATTTTTATTTTTATTTTTATTAGTATAGGTAAATTTAGCCCAATCCAACAACAACAACAACAACATCAAAAATAAAATAAAAAAAAATAAAAAACCCATCCAAACAAGCCCAAGAGTTAAGCCACTGTTTTAAAACAAAGGCCCAACCAAATAGTTCCAAGCCGAACAAGCCCTAAATCCCTAATATTAATCGCCTTGACAATTCCTGGATTCAGCCTTGCAATCAATTTCAGAAATTTTATTATTTTCAGTTTCAAGTATACTTCTCTCTCTCTCGTAACATTCTTAATTTCTATCTCTCTTAAAAATCAATTCAGCATAACATGCAGATTTGGAAATCGCGCTTATTTTAAGAGTTTATGTAGAAAATCTCAATTTTGGGCAATACTAATTTTTCTAGAATTTGTGATTTAGAATATAGGTCTGATTAATCTTACAAACCTTCAATTGTAACATTCAAAGATTGATGATAGTAGAGAGAAATCGAAAAAGAAAGTTTCAGAAGAATGGGAAAGTACCGTATTCACTTGCGAACCAAACGACCTTATTTACTAGCTAAGTAATTTGTTGATGTATGGCATCTTACAAGTTGTAGGATTCATACATGTAGATACTTGGAGATGACTTTCCTTGGAGATGATTCGTTCCCAAAAAGTAGTTGTGTATTAAATGGAAAACAATAGAGAAAGTATATTTAGATTAAAAATATTTAGATTTTTTAAATTTTGCTTTAAACGTGGAGTTAACAAGGATAAGAATCATAATACTAAAAGAGGCTCAAATTAATATTTAAGCCAAATTGTATCCCTTGTACTAAACCCTCCTTGGTCCTTACTATCAAAAACTTGCAAAACAGTTCATTCCTTTATTTATTTATTGGGATAACAAAAATCTTCAATTTATCAAAAATTGTAATTACCGCTTTGACAACTTATTAGAATATTGGTGTTAAAGTGGTCATGTGCAATTATGACAGCCTAGAGCAGAGCTAAGCCCAGGTTACGGGGCATATGCCTTTGGGACCGCCCTTTCCCTTATGTATATCATCTTTTGTTATTTATAAATTTTTTATAGTATTCCCCCTCCCCCTAAACTTTTCATTTACTAAAATTATATCTTATTTCGTTTTTTTCTCTCTTTAAATTGCTATAATTTCTTTTCTTTTTTTTATTTTTAATATTTCACAACCAATTTAACGGGTCGGTTACGGATATGGTAGCAACTTGATAACTTTATTTTTATTTTTAATTTAGTTTTTATTTTTATTTTTAATTCTACTATGGATTTTAAGTACAATTTTGAAAGTACATGGGCTTTTGTGATTTTAACCCTTCAAGTGTTTGTGAAGTCTTTAACTAAGGCCCATTCATTTCATTTGTTACAATCATAAAAAAATCAACCTTCAAATTAATTAAAACTAATTTGAAGAACTCGAGTCTTTAAAATGTAGGCACTAAGATGCCAAAGGGTTTAAAGGGAGAGGAAAAATAAGGAGTTGAGATGCCGAGACAATTGTGAGGTAAAAAAATGTTGGTGAGAGATGAGTGATTGAAAGGTAACTACGAGAGACAGAGTTAGCAGTGGCACACCGGAATGGTCCAGGAACCTAATGAGAAGTAAGGTGTTGGTTGCGCTCTATTTAGACCCTCTTAATTATATATTTAGTTAGTTATTATCTTAGTAACTAATACGTTCTAAACTAAACTACAGCCTTATGAGGCCTACAAGTAGCCACATGGGTAATGACTAGTTGTAACGGGTGGGCGCTTGCCCATTTACCCAAAAACTCGAACTATTGGGTAGTACTGCATACCCACCCATTTATACCCAATCACTTTCCCATCCGATTTCGATGTGGAACAAATGACCCTTGTTACACTAGTCCACAAAACAAAACACAAATCCCAATCCCAATCCTCAATTCACGTAGGAAAATCTAAAAACTCATCTAACCATCTAAACCTAGAGTTTGATATTTGCATCTCAAGCCGCCTTCACAGTTCCCTCATCTCCCAGTCCCCATCTCAAGCTAAACCTTTCTTATTCGATCCCAATCCCGATCCTAATCCTCAATTCACAAGTTGAATCTTCTCTATCCCTAACCAATCTATCATTCTCTGGGACTGGAATTCCCATATGGGTTTTTTCTAAAACCTTTGGGTGGTCGAGATTAGGCTCTGGCGAGGTCGTGACCGGAGCTGTTCCGAAGATTCCCGTGCAGAGTTAATCCTCGCCTCCCCAGTTGCCGAATCTCAAGCTTCCTCGAATCTTCATCGCCTTCAACAGTCGGCGCCTCGCCTCCTCTCATCTTCAGATCCTCTACACTCAGTCGATTCAGATTTCATCCTCACTCTTCATCCTCTCTACTGTAATCTGTATCGCGGCTTACATTGTTACACACCATCTCAGACTTCTCCGATCTGTATTGCGGCTGTATTATGTATTTATTTATATTTATATCTTTGTTATTATATCTCTGTATCGCGGCTTGCATTGTTACACACCATCTTAGACTTCTCATGGAACGATTCGGTTCGATTCCATACTTATACAGTTCCGATTCCGACTGGAACGATAGGGAACCAAACCATGTGCATCCCTACTTATAAGGTGTTTACACCGAACTACTTGGTCAATAAATATATTTCTACTAAGGCCACAAGAGAATTATTTATAACAATATAAAACAAAAAGAAAATAAGAAATATAAATAAAAAGGGGCGCGAGTTATGAGCTCTTTCCATTGATAGTTAGATTGAAAAATTTAGTGAAAAATTCATTTAACTTTTCACATGTATAAAGAAGAATCAATTCCAATGACTAATAATGCTCATGGTAATTTTTTGTCGAGAAGGTCTAGTAAATTTTTTTTTTTTTTTTTTTTCAGAGTACGTGTATCGGCCACACAACACACGTATCATTTAAGTTAGGAGTGCGGTTCGAAAACAAAACCTCAAAAACTTATCTTTTCGATATCTAT